TACCCAGTTCTCTATGGATTTATTCAATCATTATCGTTGTAATCTTTTAAGTAACGAAACATTTTTTGGGCCGAACATATTTTTGCACAATTGATTTTGAATTGTGAGTAATCCAAACAGGTGAAGTTTAGAGGTGGCAATTGTACGAGGGTGTACTGTGACAATGCCCTACCTGCTATAAGACATGGGAGTCGTAACCTGTAACATTTCCAGTGCAAATTATTTCAAGTTTCTAGATGAGATTCCAAGTTTCTTAGAAATGTATTGACCAAATTTTTAATATCTCAGAGCAATTCAAAGACAAAATTCATCTAAGTTGATACTTGTTGGTTTTCTAATGTTTTCATATTTTTGTCAAAATAAAAAATATGAGTTTTGTTTTCTTATAAATAAGGGTGGCACCTCAATCCTACACCTGTAGCCGCTACCCCCATAATCCGTCCTGAGCTAAAATACAAACCAAGGTCCCTATCTGGAGCATTTTAAGCTCTTTTATTATCATTCATAAAAACGGCCATTTATTTACAATACACCACAATACAGGTCTTTACCCGCGACACAATTGTCGCAATTTCCATGTTGGTTTTTTCACTGTTTGTTTCGCACACAAATACACGCTTAAGTAGATCTCAAAAAACTTGACTTGGAGATTAAAGTATTTATATGCGATTAACATGTATCTGTATATAGCGGATGTGAAGATACAAGGTGTAGAGGTTTACTTCGCTCATGTTACCCCTGGGGGTCACAAGAATTCAGGGTGGGGATTTAACGGAGGGTGTACAGTTACCGGCTAATTGCATTAAGACACTAATGTTTACGGGGCTATAGAGTGAAGTGGTCGCATCATTTGCTTTAGGTCTTACAGGGCAGATGTATGGGAAGATACCTTGAGAAGTCACCATACAACCAATATACATCTCTGCAAGATTACCCTAAGATAAAACGCAATAATTCTATGATTTTCCTCGATGTTTTCACATGAGGAGAGCATATAATAAGAAAATGGATCAAAAAATATGGGGCTAAATTCAAATCTAAAACAAAATACCCCTTGAAGTTTAGGAGATCATCTGTATATAAATACATGTTAATGCTGAATTTGTTTGATGGTAACAAAACTTTTTATTGGGCTAAATCCCTGTCCTGGATAGCTGTATAGACTACAGAGTCCTATCTGATCCCACTATTAGGGGACTATTTGCTCTGGGGGATCTAGGAAACTCACAATAGGACTTATCCATTGACAAAAAATTCACAACAATTATACTTTAAGATCAATTAGAATAAATTAGGGAGGAATAAATGACTGATTAAATCTACATATCTAAGACTAATAATCTTAATTCTTCAAAAATGCAGAAAGTCGGTGATTTAATGAATGGTTTTGAGATATATAAGGGGAATCAGCATGATCGAAGATGAATATTGCCGAGGGTATTTCTGGTGTTTTGAATCATCTTTAACGTTAAGCTGGGAATGGTCATGTGTTTTAACTGTTGGATGACATCATCACGTGGTCATAGCAACCCCCTAGGGACCCCCAGCTAAATTGATTCTTTGACAAACCAACTGAAAAACAGGATTTGCAGTAAAATGTCCCAAATGCTTATTTCACCCTATGCAGACAGAGCCTGTGAGAAATATTGGGTGCGGAGCAAATGAGCGGAGGGTGCGGAGCTAACGGTCATTTTTGAATTTAAATTTGGGATATTTCTGAAACTAAGCCGTTTTGGGACTTCAAATATACCAAGATATGTGTATTTGACACCAAATATCAATACAATTGTGAAAATAGTAGCGCAATTCATTCTATAGCGACGCAGTGTGCCTTAAACCTTTCCCAGACCTATATATTTTGAAATTATCCTGTTAATACTGAGTCCCCAGCATTCATAAAAAATGGTGTTCAAGGTACACTATCTATACAAATTTTTTTTGCATCTTGGAAGCCAGGCAGTATCTGTGTGATTTTATAAAAATTCGGAAATGTTCTTCAGATATGAGCCCCCTCTAAATATTGGGTGCGGAGCTACGTTTATGGAGCTATAAACGTAGCTCCGCACCCAATATTTAGAGGGGGCTCATATCTGAAGAACATTTCCGAATTTTTATAAAATCACACAGATACTGCCTGGCTTCCAAGATGCAAAAATAATTTGCATGGGTTGTGTATCTTGAACACCATTTTTTATGAATGCTGGGGACGCAGTATTAAAAGGATAGTCTCAAAATATATAGGTCTGGGAAATATTTAAGGCATACTGCGTCGCTATAAAATGAATTGCACTACTATTTTCACAATTTTATTGATATTTGGTGTCAAATACACATATCTTGGTATATTTGAAGTCCCAAAACGGCTTAGTTTCAGAAATATCCCAATTTTGAATTCAAAAATGACCGTTAGCTCCGCACCCTCCGCTCATTTGCGCCGCACCCAATATTTCCCACAGGCTCTGTCTGCATAGGGTGTATTTGCATAAATGGTTTTCTTGTACGTTAATTTTTCCTAACTGATACAACCCAAATAATTTGGTAAGAAATTAAATAAAAATTACAGAAATTGTGCATTTGACATATTTCTACATAGTACATATGAATAATACATATGGCAAATTATACAGTACAATCATATATCTATCTGTATGGATAAAAAACTGGGTCAAAATGAAAACATCACATCTGAAATTTTGCACCAAATAACATACTTGTCGGAGGCTTTATTTAATAGGTAACATCATGGAAAGATCCCTCCTTATCCTACAAGCAATTTAAACCATCGCGATGATTGCCATTTTATTTGTTATAAAATCAAAGTAAGTAGAAATCTGATATATAATGGGGATATAATCAATTTCCTACAGCTGGCTCAGAACGACTTGTCTCACAATATGGTATGATATATAAGGAGAGGATCGACTTATGATATGAGAAGATGGCGATTTTGTCTAAATAAAATTTATGATATGATGTTTAAATATTTCTGAATCAGAGCAATTAAATATGATTGATAATTTACAATCAGTTCATAGAGTTTAAAAATCAAGTATTTTTATCAGGGTATCTGCAAATTTTAGTTATTTTACTTCAAATAATCCAGAGATTGATTCCTCGAGTCCTATATGCAATCCTTGTTCAGACTGGTTCGGTATATGTTACATCCAGAAACATTAATTTCTTGAGGTTTAAGACACCAATTTGACAGCTTATTTGTTGAGTCGCCAGATTTATGCCATGGAAATTATGCAGGGAATATATCATGTTTACACTGAAAAATTATTCAAACACTCTCCGAGCTATTCTGTCTAATTCAAAAGTCATCCACGTTAAAAACAATACCAAGTGAAAAATATCTGTCGCATGCTTGATTTAATTTTGTAGACAATTTCTTTTTTGAATTCCTTAAAAAGTCAGTTTAAACACGAGACATGAGAAATAAGAGCTTTCGTAAAGTTCGCATTCAACTTTATTTGCATATATTGTATTGTTATATATTCATAGCTCTATATTTACAAAAAAATATGAGTTCAAACCCAATACAAATACTTGAGCTACGTTAAACCAGCTTTTGAGATCCCACTTAGCACTCAAAAAATCACTTCTCTATTGACAACATAAGCTCTGTCATGAAAATATCCTCCACATTCAAGTGAAGTTATTTTTTCATCGATTTGACTCGTGTTACATTTCTTCATTTAACAATGAGTTAAATGTACATATTTGTTGTTATCTTGTTTTTATTATGATTTCTTATTTTTGTTAACCAGAACTTAATAATATCATAGATAACAAAAAGCTGAGAAAGGTAAATGGCACAAAAAGCCTGATACCTTCAGTACAGTACATAAAACAACAATAAAGAAGATACGAAAAAATCCTTGAAAAAAGCGAGAAATTCGTGGCCGAGGAATTTAATGATGTTTTTATGTGTTGCGAATGAGGCAATTTCCATGAGCCATAATAACACTGGCTTTATCACAGGTAGAAAATATAGCAGTAGCGAATTTATTTTATTTCAATTTGTGGCGTTACCTGACTTAATCGGCTTAAATCTGACGGTATCTCCATAATTGGGGACCATTTATCAGGCTTAAGGACTGTTAATTTAACGAAGGATTCGGGTGAAAAATAATTTCACCAATTCCCATTTATATTCTTCGTAAAAGTATAACATGGCTTCGTACAGGTAATCAAAAATAACCCCTATTTGATGAAGCATGGATTATACCTTAAGTCCTTATTTATTTACACGAGTTGTCCTTCTTTAATGATCAAACTCATTTACTTATGAACTTAATGGACTTACAAAATAGGATTGATTACCAGCTCAAATATGCACTCCTGAGCATGTACGAAACTAATTACAGAAAATATTAACAATTTCAAGGAAGAATGAAGACTCTTCCATGATCAACTTTTCATTAAGTCCATATGACATAATATTCATCAAAATATAATAATGATCAAATCACGCAAAATTATTTTAATCAATCTGTTGACTTTAAGTTAAAGATCTAGTTTTCTCTCATCTGTTACTTTATATCATGACATAACAGCAGAAATGTAAAATGTTCTCTAAAGAAATATGCCATTTTGTGATATCATAATTTACATCATAGGTAAAGTCCCTAATGACATCACAAAGGGCAACATTTGATGGGGGGGGGGGGCACATACTTGAAAGATGTGATGGGGGGTTGTTTGGATCTAATTAAGTATGTAGACTAGTCCAGAAATGGATGAATAATAGAGGGTAGACTGACACAAGAATTCCTTATCAGGTACATCATGCTAGAATGAGACAAGGCATTAACATGCAAAATATCACTACCTGTCATTTGTTACAGACACCAACCACCAAACACTGTCCACAGAATAGTTGGAGACTATAACAATATGTCACCACTTGTGGTGGTGACATAAACACTTTTAACAAGATTTTACTCTCTCTTTCCTTTTAGGGGTGACTTGACTGAGAAGATATCGTATGGACTTACATTATATTCAACTGCATCTGACGACGGATGAGAGCGTTCTTTTTGTTGACCAATAGGAACCATTCTTGCATTAACCTCTCTTCCTCTTCTTTCTTCGCACCTGGAACAAGACATTGAATAATTAATATAGTTTTGTCACTCAGAGAAAATAATTATCATTAATAGAAAATAAATCTCCTTTTCTAGGAAATGATTGTAATTTGAATCGATTTCTTTTGATGCTAAAAATGAAAGAATTATCTCCCTTTTAGTGATTGTTTTAATCATAACAACCCCACCCCCTCTCCTATTCTACCCCCTCTCTTGCTCTACCCCCTCCCCCAGAAAAAGAAAATCCTTAACCAAATAAAAACAAATAACACAGGGTGTAAATGTGTGTTAACATAAGCCTATAAAAATAAGAAATTTTCCAGAAATATTTTACAATGGCAGATAGCAGGAAGAGCAGCTTATTTTTCAGATGAAAATAATAATATAGTTTAAAGGAAATGATGTAGATGTTGATTTATTTTTGAAGGACAGTGCTAATGTTTATTATTTTATTTAGCTAATTAAATGATTAAACATGTAGTAATTAACCACCTATTTAAACAATGTCACATTTCAGCACTAATTTTCATAATATTTTAATTTGGAATTATTTAAGTGAATACACTAAATGGATTAAAATATAAGTGTGAACTTGAAGTAAAAATATTTGCCAGGATTTCCTACTTTTTGGAGAAAATGTATCAAAAGTTGATTCAAGCTGAATGCGGATTGTACTTTTATATTTTTATTACGCTACAATAATTCCTGAGTTAACATAGCATATGTCTAGGGTGTCAAAACCTGGCATTTATTCTAAATAATAATTTTTATTCATTTAAAGGTAAATAAAATTGATTTGTAGCTTTATTTTCTTTGCCAATTTCAGGATTTCTGACACATTCCATTACAGGAGGAAACAGAGATTTTTAAATATTCACATCTAAAATGTTTTCATTTCATTCAACCATACAACAGTTCATGTTATCATTTAATTCATATTTGCTCATGGCTGAATACAGTAAACTATATGAGGATCCAATATGGATGTACTGTACACATTTGATTTGCAATTTTTTTATACTGTCATAATATATAAAATTCTATTTTTCAACAAGGACTTGATTTGGGCCACTAATTCTGAAGGCCCATTGTTGGACTATGTACTATGATAGCATAAATGAATAAAATGTCCATTTCAAGCTTTTGTTTTATATTTTTCATTTTCTATTCACTCTTAGTAGAGTTGAACGTGGTCGAACATTGAATTTCTATTTTGCCTTTAGCATAACTGCGATTTGCTTCAAAGAGACTACTTCTAATCAAGAAAAGACCAATTACTTTATTTTCTTTTTCAATTTATTACATCCTAAAAGAAGTCTGTAATCTCTTTGAAAAACTGCAACCTGGAAAATTACCATCTTCCTCACGCAAAACATGAAGCAACACGTTTATTCCTTTTAAACCACCTTCCACAAAAATTAGAGAAATCGGTGAAGAAAGAATTACACAAGCGTGAAAAGCAGCATCCTAAACTGCAGAAAAATAGAACAAAATTGTTCAATCTTGTCGTAAAAGTATGATATTTTTCTGGAAATAATGAAAGGGGTATAGACGAGATTTACCTGCTAATAATGCAATATAACGAATGGAAATTTAATTAATTAATTCTAGTAATATCCCGCGGAGGATAATTAAGCAATGTTCTGGTTCGATTAGAGATTGATATATGTAATTAAATGACAGAGAATTTGTCACCGAGTTTCGCAACCTTTAACGCTGGCTTTTTATTGAATCTCAATACCATTTAACTGTAAATTATAGAATTATAGATTAACTGGTTATCGGCATGTGTTTTACTTCTAAGAATCATGCACAAAATCAGAATTACATTCAAACACTTTGAAAGCTGAACATTTTTTTAATTTAAAGGAATCACATCTATTTGCAATGAATGTATTTTGTTACCAAGGATTGAAATAACAAAAGCTGTGGTGTCATTATTATTTTTGTTTCAGTTCGGATTCATGTTTTGAAATAACAAATCATAGCGGAGTATGTTTAAATATATATTGATAGAGTAACATATGTCTTTTAAAAATATGAAATCTCACAAAACATTTTTTTTCAATCTTGAAAAAGACATATGGATACAGGTTCAAAGTCGACTTTATAAAGTATTTTCTGAAGAAATGAATAAAGTTGTTTAAAGGTATTACTGTTCATTGACAGTCATCGTTTTAATCGCAAATATAACAAAAGAAAAATACTCAGATGTAGATTATTAATTCAACAAATTTTGGTGAAGATTTGCAGGTTGTGCACAAATTATCAAGTGCAAGCCCCCCCCACACTTTATATACAATACCACATGGTAGAGCATGTCAGTATTCATAGACATGTGATTAGAGCTAGGACTGACACTCCTACAGCCAGCCATATATATGGCAATGCAAGATAAAGAGCCGACACTGCACTGAGCCTAATGCCTCTAATGTGGAGCAAACACACCAACCAAGACCACATCCTTTTATACTATATATTATAGACATATTCCACACCTCATTGAACTCTTACCTTACTCCATATCGCCATTGGTGCACCGACCAAATCCACAAATATTGAAAATAATCCATTACATGTCATATATATCTCCTTCATTATGTAATAAACCCCAAAATCCTTTTTACGCTTTTAAATCTGTAAAAAATGACTCCACGTAACCCGATGGTTGCATTTGCTTCGTCGGACATGCTTACTAACTTGGGATGTGTGACTTGAACATAGTGAGGGGTATATAAGAAGATACTGAGGGAAACAGAGGGATAAAGATTAGACTTAGCATCACAGCTCAGCACATACTCAACGTATAAACCCAATTGATGTCAGATTCCCAACATAAGCTGATTTGACTGCCGTTCAACGCCTATATAGCTTTCCAATGACATCTTGATCTCCCAGGCTATCTCCACCCCATCTCCCAACAGAGAGAGGGTATAATAGCATCTACAAACAAACAAACTGGTGATCTTGAAATCTTCAGCGAAATCAAAACTTAACTTCATTCAGTTGAAAGAGAATTTCTTGTTTTCCGTGTCTATGCAAAACAAAAGGTTTAATCTGGGGATTTGTTGCGCAGTCATATCTCTGTCTTCTTAAGTAACAATGTCACTATGTCTTATCTCTCACTTGCCAATCCATGACAAGAAGCAAAATTACAAGAACTTATGGAAACAGGCAAGCAACTTAGAAGTACAAAAAAATATATAGACTTTGTTAAGATATGTAACCTACATTATTGGTACCATAAGCATAATTGGCAATGATTTGCGAGGGTGGGCAGGTATAGCGATATGAAACCCGGAGAATGTCACATCACTATTCATAATAACATTATATCTATTTATCCTGATTAATCTTCTGATTAGAAGGAGTATCAAGCATTGTGCTGCTAATGAAAGCCATAGAGGCTCATTTCTGAAAGGAACAACTCAGTTTTTTACCTCACCAAAAGATTTCAAAACCGTCACTGAAATGTTCATTTTTCTCGAAATAAATTCAAAGAAGTGATCCAGATTTTTACCTTTTTGTACAATTTAGGGTATGTACTACATATACATGGGTTAATTCTATGAGAATTTCCTTTGTTTTTCACTGTATTTTGCAATTGAAAACATGACCGCTTTGAGACTCATAAGGGTTGATACCTGAGACAATCATAGAGTTAATCAAACACTAGAAAAGCCAGGGAACATCAAGGGGGATCCTGTACTCCATCAGGAGAGCAGGTAATTACTTGTACATACATGGTCTTACTGTTTCCTGTGCTGGAGTCCATCACTGTAATTGTTACAGTATGTACTTTGAACACATAGGCACCAACAGATAGGTGGCAGCACCTTACTGAACTTGAATTTTACTTGAGAATAATTTTGATGTATTTTTTTTTCTTATTGCCATCAACTTTGATATTATTTCATTAATTGTTAATTTATTTCTTGCAGAACAGTATAGATGCTGATAAGTAATAAAAAGATCTTTAGATAATTCAAAATCCAGTCATTAAACTAAAATGTCTAGGGAATTAGGAAAAATAGACAAGAATACATAATTAAATGTTATTTTGAAAAATGTTAATCATAGATCATAAAACATGTAAAATACACCTGAATCCCAAAGCTGTGTTTCTAATCAAATTCATATCTACACCTACAATTTTTAAAACTGCAGCTGAATGCATATTTAAAGCTTATCTTCTCAACTGTGAAACAAAAACAAAACAAGAATGATCACATCAATATATCTGGCAGCCACATAGCCAGGGGGAGGGGGGGGGGGGGTTCAGGGATTGTGAGTGAACCTCACCCCCTGGCTAAAATTTCTTTCAAAATCATGCAGTTTTCACCATTTTAAGCACTTCCCAAGTGATTTTGGCCATTTTTGGGCCAATGATGTCAAAGTGAACCCCCCTGGAATTTTTTAAAAAGTGAATCCCCTTGGCATAAATAGGCTAAGCACCTGTCTAGGCTAGTATTTCACAACATAAACCTCATGTCCAATCCTCAATTTTAATAAATAAAGGTCCCAAAGCAAGTATCAGATATTAAAGTCCTTCCTTGTGAAAAATTATAAAACTGAAATGCAAAATGCATTATATGAAAGAGTGATTATTTTAGAAGAACACCAACCGTCATCCATGACTTTGCGAAGTGCTGACTCGAGATATGCGGCTCTGTCGTCAATCTGTTTCTGTTCTCTCTCCAGTGCTGCCATCTCTCCGAGAACATACTCACTAGTACTCATCAACTCCTGAATAATACAATAAAACATTTTTAAATACAATAAAACATTTCTAAATACAATATAACGTTTTTTAAATACAATGAAGGAAACTCATCTCTGAATATGCAATAGAATGATATAATAGAATGAGAGCAAAATATGAAGAAGGCATTAACATTCCACCACCTCCCATTTGTTACATACATGAAACTCTAAAATACCATTCATCCACAAAACGTTGGACACTAACGATATGTCACTGCTAGTATGTATATAAATGAAGCATCAAATTAAGATATTACTCCATGTTTGTGGTAAAAAGTACAATTATCAGATTTATACAAGGATGTAATTTCAGACTTGGTAGTCTTTAGAGAAATAGTTTGACCCGCCATCTATAAATGAATTGTTACCTAAATATCTCAAAATACAAGAATAGACCTCATATTTGGTAGTGACATCTTTAAATACAATCATAACCTTTAATGCAAAGTAAGCCCTGGCATCATTTTCTATAAACCACAGTGAATTTCTCATCGACTTTTAAACTTTTTCATGAGAAAGTAATAAGCATTCAACTCTGTTCAACTACATGTTAACAAAAAGAAAGTAAAAAACCAACACCAAAAGCAAGGAATTAGCAATTGGAACAAACAGAAAACAAATTTTTAGCCAAAAAGGGTTTTCATACATCACATATGCAGCAAAATATTGATTTATTTTTGTTGAATTTTGGAATATCAATAGTAGGGGATAGCCAGGTTATGCCGTGGGTCAACCTTCCCCCTGGCCAAAAAGAAAATTCTTTCAAAATCATGTAGTTTTTCACCATTCTGACCATTTTCATGTGTTTTTAGGCCAAATTTGCCAAAGTGATCCCCCTGGAATTTTTTTGAAAAGTGAGTCCCCTTGGAAAAACCTGGCTACGGGCATGATGTGACCATGGCATTAGACAGCACAATAGACAGCCCCTTAGTTCACAGGGTGCAAAAGTAACAACCAAGCTTACATTGTACACATGTATCCACCAAACTTGTGCTGAAGCCATCATGTCGTGAAAATGTGAATGACCAAATTGGGCCAACAAGAGGATTATCATATGAGATGTGATTCATATATCCAAGGGCAAAGCAATCAGGTTTATCAATACATCAACATTTTAGGCCAGAACATAATGCTAGTTTCTACTCAAGATAAGCTTACGTTTTAAACCAAATGTTTTTCTAGAATGGCAAAAACAGTACCTTGGTAAGAAAGTTTTTTTTATGGTTTTTGAATAGAGATAGAAAGGGTTTAACATTTATTTGTAAATATAATGTACCTGTATGTCATATTTGATCTATAATGCATCTGAATGCATTATTTTCAACATTTTCAACAACAATATTTCATTTCAACTCTTTCTTTCATTTACGAAGTGACAAGAAAAAATTACAATTTTTCCTGAAATTATGATTCTAGAAATGCTGTTACATGAATCCCCCAGAAGGAACTAAATTAAATCACTACAACAGTGATGGCATAATTTTGATGTATTCTACCTGAATCCAAATATCTTATAGCTACTGAACATGTAAACATGTATATTTATATACCCCCTTTTCTGGCTTATCTCTGTCCTAAATAGCAATGATACATGATACAGTAAAGGATGAAATAGCAATGATACAGTAATTGATGAAAGAGTAATGATACAGTAATTGATGAAATAGCAATGATATTATGATACAGTAATTGATGAAATAGCGGTGATACCTGATACAGTAATTGATGAAATAGCAATGATACAGTAATTGATGAAATAGTGATGATACCTGATACAGTAATTGATGAAATAGCGATGATTCGGTAATTCATGAAATAGCAATGATAAATGATACAGTAATTGATGAAATAGCAAAGATACATGATACAGAAATTCAAGAAATAGCAATCATGGCACCTGATACAGAAATGATGAAATAGCAGTGATACTGTAATTAATATTGTAAATGATGAGTATCCAAATAAAAATGGATTTTTCTTTGTATTAAGATATATGAACACTAGGTAGTGATAAAGAAATGATATTTCACTCAGATATGAACAAAATAAACAAAGAAACATTAGGAAGACAACAGAAGTCAATGAACACACAAACAAATAGACAAATTAAGTATTATTTGTCGCAAGCAAACCTGACGAAAAATGAGTTATCCAGTATTTGATTTAATCCTGAGATGGACTTACATTTGGACTGAAGGATCAATGGCTTCACTATATCCATTCCGAACTTTACTGGTGGCTTCATAAGCTTCAAAGAAATTCACATTGTCTGGCTCACCCTGTACATATAATAGTTTGGCCTGCTCTGTACCTACCTCATCATTTTCATCATAAAGGAATATATCTTCATCATTCTCATACTCCTCCTCTCCTCCACTGTTGAGGTCATCTTTACTGGAATTCCTCTGAAGGGCGGGGTCACAGAACTCATCGAATGATTCCAGGGACACGCGGCCAGGGACGATCATTTTCTTGTGGGGGGAACCACGTAGTGAAGCAGGGGATGGTGACTGCAAGTGAGGAAAATATTTTAACAACAGAAACAATTGAGATACCATAGTGTAAATTGTACACAAGTGTACATGTATTGTCATTATCAAGGAAGTACATCTATCACAAACACATTAGAGATTGTAGTCAGACTTATTTCACCTGATGTGTTCAAGTTTTCCTCCAAAATCGAAACTGGACTTTTGAGCATGTTTTGTAAATTCGGCATGAAACCGTAATCATTTGGATTAGACCAATGAAACTTGGTAGAATGAATGAACATTGTACACAGTAGTTTCACCCCATTGCCTTCATGCATTTAACTTATGATACACGCTAGATCATGAGCTAGAATCCAACCAAGGAGCTGAAATATTTAAACTTAAATCCATGCAAACTTGACTTTATCAAAATATCATATAGATGTTGATGAAAGTCCTACCCCATCATCCTCGTTGGAAGAACTGGCTGCTGAAGCAAGGTTAGATGCCATATTAGGTCTGTTCAGAACAATCTTCTTCAACTGAGCATCAGTCTTACTGGGACTACCTTCTTTAGAGTCGGGATCTGCTGAAATAAAAGGAGTAAAATGGTCAATATGATACTTTCACGTTCAGTATTCATTAGATTTGTGCTTAAATAATAAGTAATGTGTGGTGTATACATTGAGCCAATGCCATCCATACTGGTAACTGTAGGCCACTTGACAAAGCCATTTGTATAAAAATTACCTACCTGTACATGGGCGTCATTGCCTTAATGTTTTCTAAATGACGATCTATGCTAATTATATGATGGATTCCTAATGAAGTGGAATACTTAACTGGGGTCTAATCTGAGAAATCATTGTTAATTGAGAAATCATTGTTAATCTGAGAAATCATTGTTATGTAAGAAGAGCATGCCATAGGATTATAAACTTGATTATAGTAATTATATATTAGTCTAGCTACAATCCCTTGTGAGCCCCTCCCTCCCCAATTAAACACTCCCCCTGTGTGAGAAGGTGTGTAGTAGTAGTGGGAGGGGGGGGTGTCACAGGGGCTTGTAGCTAGACTATCTACTATCTATGTATATAATGTATGTATTAACTGAAGGTCTTTCACTGTAATGTAATATAAGGGAGTTACTAACTTAAACGGGAATATACCTACAGTTATACTATTTTTTCATACTTTCTCATTTTATTTTAATAATCATTTAACAATTAAATATAAAACAAAGCTTTTAATTGTGTTAATTAATGCAGCAGTCAGTTAAGATGCGATTGAATAATGCAATTCAATAACATTTTTTATCTCTTAAAACATTATTCATTGTACAAATTCAATACAATTTAAATGCATTAAAACTGTCAATTACCGATCAGATCTTTATATTATCTTCTCAACATAATCCTAAGCAGTGATTCAATACAAATCAGTAAAAAATTCTATGCATGCTTTTCAAAAAATACTTGCAAGGAAAACACAAATATTTTGTTTCAATGTTGCAGGATGTATAGCAGGGTCTGATTTTAGTTAGGGATATTACAACTTTAGTAATCATTTGTACGAGTGAGACTTCTAAAGTTAAAGTCAATTTTCCACAAAAATTTCATATTTTTATTTGCCAAAGTTATGTCATTGTTTGTTTTGTTCAGCTCTAGGCTATCCCTTTAGAAGTCTCATCATATATAGGTTCAAGAGAAAATATCATCATTTACTTGACTCCCAGGTAAATTTTTCGTTAATCCATTTATTGAGACTTTTCCATCATAAATTCAGTGATGAAGATTTTCTTTAGGCTGTCAAATATTTGGAAGATTCCTAGGAATTAGAAATATAGGGATGGACAAGTCTTGTCTGAGATGCAAATTACATTGCCTAGAGTACAAGTCATATTGATTTAAGGGCAGATGTCATGCCGCCTTAGGTACAAGTCATGTTACCTTGGGCAGAAGTCATGTTACATGGGGCAGAGGTCATGTTGCCTGGGGCAGAAGTCATATTACATAGGGCAGAGGTCATGTTGCCTTAAGGGCAGAAGTCATATTGCCTGGAGTGCAAGTTATGTTGCCTAAGTTGGAAGTTATATTGCCCAGGGTAGAAGTCATGTTGCCTAGGGTACAAGTCATGTTGCTTTGGGCAGAAGTGACGAGATGTCATGTTGCCTAGGGCATAAGTCATGTTATTTTTGTCTAGGTTGCTAATAACTGATCTTACAGTCTATATTATATTTGAAACTAGTGAATGCCAGCGTGGATTAAAACCAGCAAGGATTGTACCCAGCATAACAGAGACTGAATGTTGATATTTTCCCTTATTGTGGTTAATAATATGAGCATACAGGGGAGAACATCATCACATAAACATACCATGTGGCTTTTTATACTGATAAAACGATTTCACACTTGTTCCTAGAGATGAAATAAAATAAAAAGATGCCATAAAATGAGAACTAATAGATGGAGCTACTGTGGTCTACACAACAAGCGTGTAGTAGTATTCACTCCCCCCAGTTTTCTGCAAGTTAAAATGCTCAATTCTGCAAGTGAAATTAGTGAATTCTGCAAGAAGAAAGGGCTAATTCTGCAGAAATTTCGAACCATTAAACGGGAAAATATCGTGATAGTCAGGTAGTCAGTCACTACATACATGCTGCCATCTAACGGCAGAAATCAAACGATGGCGTTTAGAATTTTCACTTCGCATAATTTGGGTTATTTCTGCAAGGGATTTGACTGAAAACGTGTCAAATTGTTACAGGTAAGACTGACTTTTTAAACTTTTGGAAAATATATGGATTCTGCGGAAAATTCCGCGGAAATTGACCAAAATAGTTGATTCTGCAATTCCGCGGGCAGAGGCAAATTCCGTCCGCGCTCTGCAAACACGGAATCCTGGGGGCAGTGAGTATTGATACAGAAACGTAGTGCACCTTAAACAGAAAATACTCAAAATATATGTTCCCTAAAACATTCTACAGCGAATTCTAAAACAACAGAAATTATAAAAGGAATTACAAATATTAAAAAGATGACAAAACATTAGAATATGTTATCGTAAATAAGAGAAGTGATGTTCACTATGTGTAAAAGGTGATGATACAAAATGGATTCTCAACAACACATTTCAGATCACAAATATACCAAGAGATATTACAACATATATCTAGTATAAACATGAGACTTACTTGCTTTCTGAATCATCTCTGTGGGCTCTGGCTTTCCTATTCCAGCACGAGCCTCAGATATCAACTTCCTTGCCCGATCTCTTAGCTGTTTCTGCCTCTCTTCTTGACTCTGTATGATAAACAATATATATATTATTAACACGGGGCCTCAGATACATTATGTGTGGAACATATTGGGCTGGGAATAGGGAGGTACTGTTAAGGAGAATGGATAACAGGAGGGATATAACATAATGGGAGCAGTGGTATGGGAACAGAGAGAGGCACTGATAATGAGGATACATGGGCGTACCCAGAGGAGGGGGGTGCATTGGGTGCAACTGAAGCACCGCACCCCCCCCCTTTCGAGCCAATCCCAAGGTATTTTGTTCTTGATGCTGAGGAGGAGACTTGGAGGTAAGAAAAACTATGCACTCTGGTGAAAGAGGTGGAGAATCTAGGCTTCAAGTGCAAAGTATTATGATGTAGAAAATCGTGTGTATGCCCTGGGATAGGTAATAAGGGAGGGGGGGGGGGTCATGAAAGAAGTGGTAGCTATTACTACAGCAATGACTCTGCTAGGAGAAAGTAGAATTTAATGTGTCTGACCTTTATATAAGAAAATGCACTTGAAATAATCAACAATGAAGCTGTATTCACACTAGGTGTATTCATACTTACCAATGTAGCTGTATTCATACTTACCAAATGTAGCTGTATTCACACTTAGCTGTATTAATACTTACCAATGTAGCTGTATTCTCACTAGCTGTATTCATACTTACCAATGTAGCTGTATTCAAACTTACCAATGTAGCTGTATTCAAACTAGCTGTATTCATACTCACCAATGTAGCTGTATGCAAACTAGCTGTATTCATACTCACCAATGTAGCTGTATTCAAACTAGCTGTATTCATACTCACCAATGTAGCTGTATTCATGCCACTGCTGTAGCTCTTTGTTTTCCTGGCTGCTGGCCTAGTTGGTTGTGGGGGTACCTGATGTCCCCCTTGACTGCTGGCTGCATCTTTCCTTGCCTGGAACACACATGAAAACAGATTCACATAACTAGGATTATGAATCAAATTCCAGTCAACCAGAACACAATAAATTGAATAGCAGGGGAAGTGCAGGTCAAAATGTCCAGAGTCAAACCTTGCAAAATAACCCTTGCAAAAAGTTTCTAGTTGGATTTCATTATTTTTAGTGACATTGTGGGTGATTTATAATACATCATGTATTTTATCTAGCTATAATTACCCAAATGCGAGTAGGTAGTTACCAGTTTCACCACCAGGTGGCTGATTCGGGTCAATTAACATGGCAGGTATATGAGAAAGTTCCCTTAAACTTGAATATTATCAATTTAAGTGGCTCAATTTTCATATAACCCTTATGCGTCTGATACTTATACTAATGAAAATATGTCCAGTAAAGCAAAATATTATCTGTGTACTAAAAGAAAATATATTTTTAATGACGTAAATCAAGATTATTTCTACTCGCATCTGGGTTATTATAACACTCATTCAAAGTCAAGTAGTCATGAATGCATTGTTTTTATATTGTTGGTTCAGCTAAAATCTTTTGCAAGGACAGCTTTCAGCTGGGGAATATTAGGTGAGAAGCAATCAAAAACTGTTTAACAAGTCTGGGAGCTAGCCAATCAGGACTCATGTATGAAATGCAAGAACCTGATGAGGAAATGGACCAAACACATGTACCAAATATTTCATTTCATACATGTCACTGCAATATTCTAGATATTCTATCCAATAGAAAGTGAATCCAGAAGTGAAAGGTCTTGGGGCAGGTGAGTTAAATACTAACTATAGTAAATACTAACTATAGTAACTGTTCCTACAACCAACATTTGAATAAGAATCTACAATTTACAGCGTAAAGAGGATTTTGATAGCAGGTACGTGAGGCCAAAGACCTAGCTAAACAAGAGGGCCGGGGGCATGCCCAACTGGAAATTTTTTGATTTTAGACCTTAAATGGTGCGTTTTGAGCGATGTCAGACTGGGGCACTACTCTATCATTTAGGGTACGCAACTGCGTACCTTCGCATTGCATACCCTTGTGTATGCCTGGTTATGCGCCTGATTTACACAGAAAATTCAAAATATAATTGACCCAACATGTCCAACAATATTCAGTTTTCAAATCAATCCATCAAGCTTTGCAAACAATTAGTTTGTTTCCTTTATATATAGTGTTATTATACCATGGCATGTTAATGTGATGTGATGGTCCGTGATGCTGGTTATCCAGTCATGTTTGCTCTTAGTGCTATATCAATGAGTTTCATTTGTCTTCTTATCTGTAAGTGCAGATTTCTGTGTTATTCATCAATTTCTAAGACCCCCCCTGAAAGATTTTGTAGGGCCTCAAAAATGGACCTTTGGCAATTTTTTTGAAATGTAATTGTCCTCATTGCGAGAAAAAGGGTCTATCAGGATAAGCCAAAGCTATTTTTTGTCGATCCTCATCCAGTTATATTGTTTATTATGCACCTCATTAAAATACTCAAATCTGATTGGTTAAGAGCTGCAGGGTCTATTGCCATACATGGCAGCAAGATCTCGTTCTATCCAGTATTGAAGCAACAAGATCTTGAACCATCCGTATGCCAGAATACCTATCCTCGAAAAAAATACTAGGCTCGGCTTCTGTTTTAGTAGACCCTTTCTTTAAAATAAAGTATTTCTTGACAATTTAACACCATCTTTTATTTATCGACAGTAAATTAATGGTAGGAATATGATATTAACCAAGGGAGGTGCATAATAAAATAAATACTGGATGACCATGAGGTGGATATGCCAGAATACCTATCCTCACCTCGCCTAGTATTTTTTTCCTTGGATAGGTATTCTGGCATATCCACCTCATGGTCATCCAGTATTTGTTTATTAATTGCCATGAGGAAAATCAAAACCAAATGAAACCATGAACTTGTGAAGATGTGATTTTTTGCACAAAAATTCTTTGATAAATTTAGTCCTACCATGTTTAAACGTAAACCATGATACCATGGTATACCATGGTTTACCATGGTCTATCATGATCGGCAATGAAATTACCATCAACTCTGACCATGGTGGCAATGATGTTTTTTTGGTCAATTTTTGACCATGGTATACCATGGTATATCATGTTATACCATGTTTCATGGTATTTCATGTCCAAAGTTAGCCATCAAATACCATGGTATTATCATGGTATTTCATTGCTATGTTCCTGACCATCATTTACCATGGTATTACCATGGTATATCATGGTTGATTGCATTTCATGGCATTTCATTGTAAGATGTGACAATCAAATACCATGGTATTTCAATGCCATGTTCCTGACCATAATTTACCATGGTATATCATGGTTGATGGCATTTCATTATAAGATGTGACAATCAAATACCATGGTCATACCATGGTATTTCATTGCCATGTTCCTGACCATCATTTACCATGGTATTACCATTGTATATCATGGTTGATGGTATTTCATTGTACAATTTGACAATCAAATGTCATGGTCATACCATGATATTTTATTGTTATGTACCTGACCATCCCTTACCATGGTATTACCATTTTATATCATGGTTGATGACATTTCATGGCATTTCATTGTACCATGTGACAATCAATTACCATGGTCATACCATGTCATTTCATTGCCAAAATCATAACTCTCATTTATCATGGTTTTATCATTGCATTTCATGGTTGGTGGTATTTCATGGCATTTTATTGTCAAACCTGACCATCAAATACTATGGTCATACCATGGTATTTCATTGCCATAATCATAACTATCATTTATCATGGCATATCATTGCATTTCGTGGTTGATTGTATTTCATAGCATTTCATTGTCAAACCTGACCATCAAATACCATGGTTATACCATGGTATTTCATTGCTAAAAAGAACTCTAGAAGAGTCTCAAGTCTAAAATTGGTCAGAGTTGAAATGGATCATGAAATGCAATGAAATACCACGTTTAACCATGAAATGCAATGAAATACAATGATTGATCATGATATGCAATGAAATGCAATGGTCTTTCTTGCAATGCAGTGAAATACAATGAAAGACTATGTTCAAAAAGTATTTTTTACATGAAATATCTTTATTAATAAATGTTAATTAGAAAACCAAATTATTATAATTAGTGATTCTGATATTCATCAAAATCACAACTTTATATACTTTTGTTCCTTTATTTAATAAATTAATTTCTATTATGAATAATTAAGTTAATAACCCTATAAACAAATTTTTTTTGTTAAACAAATATGCTTTACTTTTATTTGACTGTTGTCGGTTAAATAGGAGATCAATGCCATGATTATTTTGTAAGTCAAACCTCCAGTCTTCGATTAAACATCTTGACTGTTCTTCATTGCATTTGATGGTTTGCAACCATGAAATACTGCAAAATAGCAGTATTTTTAAATGGAAACTTTTAAGTATAGTTTCTACAGTATACCATGGTAGATCGTGATAATTAAATGGCTCCATTGCATATCATGGTTAAATGTCTAGACCATGATATCACTGCATTTGATGGTATTTGGCCATGAAATACTGTGAAACGGTGGTATTTTTTAGATACAAAATTACATGTTAATTGACCATGGTATACCATGGTATATCATGATCGTTAAATGGCACCATTGCATTTCATGGTCAGGAGCGCTTTTTTAACATGGAGTTTCCCATTGAAAAAATACTGCCGTTTCACAGTATTTCATGGTCAGAAACCATCAAATGCAATGATATCATGGTCAAGAAACCATCAAATGCAATGATATCAAGGCTGAGAACTTGACCATGATATCATTGCATTTGATGGTTTCTGACCATGAAATACTGCGAAACGGCAGTATTTTTTCAATGGAAAACTCCATGTTAAAAACGCACTGTAAACAATGAAATGCAATGGTGCCATTTAACGATCATGATCGGCCATGGTATTACCATGGTATTTCATTGCATTTCATGGCCATATACCATGGTATACAATGGTCATACCATGGTATACCATGGTATGGCCATGGTCCATTTCAACATGGTATTTAACACTTCAAAAATCTCTTTTCAAATAAGATGAGTATGATTAAAACCTCTTTTTATAAACTGATATTAGATAGCCATGAATGATTTGAAAGGTCGGTTTTTGTAAAGATCTGTTTTAACTGAGAAAACTTAATGTAAAACACATCAATTTCAGGCAAAATTCTGTTTTTAAATTGTCTTAGAGAGTGACCAGATCAGCTTGACCTTGTAGTTTTAACACAGGCCATCAATTTCACTTCCAAATATGGAAGGTGCAAAAATAGAGCTGTCAATCAAATACAAGTATTGAACCGTTTGGAGGAAAAGTTTATATTCAGCTCAAGTTGGTGGTTGAATGATCAGTAGCCACAGAGCAGATTTTAAACTTTTCAATATTTCAACTTTATATTTGGCAGAGTTCATTTATCATTCATTCAAAAACGATAAGATTGACATTGCTGGATCAGCATTTTTCCCATTTAGACACCTAAATAAATGTTTTAACATTTTAAGCTGTTTGAGCATAAAATAATCCCGAAAAGCTTTGAGCATTGTTTTTTGGAACCTGTATATTTTTAAGCATAATTCAATATGCCAGATTTAGATGTATTTGATAGTGATCTTTGTACATTTTCTGATGAGATCCAATTCATATAATTTGGCTGTTTTCTTGTTATATTTTCAGTTGAATCAACTTATTACACATACCTTTAAGCATAGAGACACTGCATACATCAAGGATAAAACTGACACCATGGAAAACAAGAATGACATCATGCCTCACAAAGGTGACATACTGAACAATAAAACTGACACCATGGATGACAAAAATGATACTGTGGACAAAACTGAAATTGAAAATAAAATTCCTGGTACCATAAATAACAATGATGACATCATGGAGAACAATATTAAAACCTTGGATAACACTGATACTTTGGGTAACGTAATTACTACAACTATGAATAAGAATCATGATTCTGTTGAGGAAAATACCGACACTGTGGATAGCAACATTGTAAAATTAGAGAACACATGCGGAACTGGCCCTACAAATAACAACATTGTGGATAATACAGACTATAATGCAAACAGAATGGACACCACAGATGACATGTTTAATAATGTGGATAACAAAATCAACACAGGAACTCTGGATTATAACAGTGATATCATGAAAAGGAGCCCGATCAAAATTGAAAGCATGAACAGCATAGTCAATGGAATTTCAGATGACAAGACTGACACTATGGATTCCAACAATGACATCAAGGAAAATGACACCACTAGAATTGAGAGTATGGATATTTTAGATCAACCGACAAGCCATAATAAAAGTTTAAAGCAGGCCTCACATATTCAAAAGGAGTTGGATCATATGAAATCCAGAGCTGATGACAATGTTCTAAATGATAGATCCATTGACTGCCCTCCATGTGTAGTATCACTATGTCAACTAGAGGTAAAGCGCATGAAACCTTGCAACAAACAAAGATCCAGTCTAAACAAAACATCTCCAGTATCTAAAGGTAGAAAATCTTTGAGCAAACTGCATCAATGTAACGTGTGTCAGAAATCTTTCAGCTGCAAATCACACCTTGACAGACACACGTTACGTCATATAACTGAGAGACCTTTCAAATGTAAAATTTGTTCAAAAGCTTTTAAAACAATACATCGTGGCCTTGACCTTCACATGAAAATTCATACGATCAGAGAGAAAAATTTCAAATGTAACATTTGTTTTAAAGCATTTGTATTTAAAAGTAGTCTTACAAAACACACGAGGACTCATACTGGTGAAAAACCATTCAAATGTAAAATATGCTCGAAACAGTTTGCACAATGTAGTAGCTTCAAAAATCATGCATTCACACACATTCAACCTAAGCCTTTCGAATGTAAAATGTGTCGTAAGACATTCGCCCTTGAGAAAAGCTTATATGAACACGAAATTATCCACAAAAAAGAAGCGCCTTACAAATGTGGAATCTGCTCAGAAGTTTTTTACTCGGTGACTGAGCTTAATGGTCACATTAAGGTACACAGTGTAAATGACAAATATAAATGCACAGTGTGTCCACAGACATTTGATGAAAAGATTAAGTATGAAAAGCATAAGAAGAAATTTCACACTGATAAAAAAGGATTTGAATGCACCAAGTGTTCCAAGATATTTTTCAAAAAAACACATCTGATAGGGCATAATAGAATTCATTCTGGAGAAAAACCATATCATTGCAAATTGTGTCCACGAAAATTTGCAGAGAAATGTAATCTTTCATATCACCACAAGAAATGGCATGTTGAAGAAAAACCTTACAGGTGTGATATTTGTTCACTAAAATTTGTTCGTAAAAGTGATTATAAACAACACTGTATGACTCACACTGGAGAGAAACCATTTAAATGTGACATTTGCCCAGGGAGATTTTCAAGGAAATCAAGTTTGAATTCACATAAGAGAGCAGTTCATCAAGAAAAGCAATTTAAATGCCAGATTTGTTCCAAAAAATATTCCACAAAAGATGGTCTGATAAACCATACAAGAATCCATACTGGTGAAACACCTTTTAAATGTGAAGTGTGTTTGGAAGAATTTGCCCGCAGCTCTAATTTGAACTATCACGTATTGACAAATCACATAAATGAAAAAAACTATAAATGTCAAATTTGCTCAAAAGCATTTTATAGAAAGCATGAACTTGCTATACATAATAGAACACATACTGGCGAGAAGCCATATAAGTGTGAGTTTTGTTCTAAAAGATTCAATCAAAGCTCACATTGTTACACCCACCAAAAACTGGTCCACATGCGCAACAAAGTAGACTAGATTTAAAGATTTGTTAGTTCAAAAATAATAGTTATTTTGTTATATTCTCGTATAAGTACATCCATTGATTTGATTTTTATAAGTAATTTTTTACCTTAAGGTTTGTAAATGACCTTCATAAAATAAAAATGTAAATTTACAGGGTGGGCAAAGAACAATACGGTTAATAAATTAAAAAGGATGTAAAAGTATCAAAAATGGTATATCTGTTTCACATTATGCAGCATATAAATACCTTACTGTGAACATGATTTAATCCAAATATATATGGTAAATACTACATCATTGCGTTCAGTTTAGGAAACAACTGGGGGTGGATCAAACTGACCTATACCTCAAATCAGTATCTAACTTTTTAATTCAATTAAGGTATCAGTATTACCAATTTTAATTTGAAAATGTGATTTGTTATCTGGCCCACCCTATTACTGTAATAACGTTGAACGTTCTTTTTTATATAAAATATAACAGTGAATAAACAATAACTTGTATTTTGTTATCAATTCTATAATAAACTGGAAACTCAAGGAGGATTGGCAGCCATTGTTCAAACTTGATACTCAGTTGCCTGCAGTGGAACAATTTAGTTAAAATATTTATATTAATTTCGTTGAAAGATGGCATATTACAAATATTTTGGTAGAGTATTCAAGCTTCCTCAGATTCCTTTAGTCTTCAAAATATGAGTAATATAATGTTACCAAATTGGTCTACTCCGGGCAACGCAGTATCGAGTTTGAATAACAGCTTCCAATACTCCTCTAGCATCTTATTTCTCAAAACAATGTCCTATCTCATTTGACATGTCTTGAAGTTTATTGTACTAATTTTTGACCTTTGAATATGATACTTCCTCCAATTAGGCTGATTCACATTTTATGTAACCCTTTTTCATTTGTCAATTTTCCTCAGAGTAAATAAACTCATGTTTCTCAAGATTTAAAAAGAGAAATCAACATTTCAGCTTTATTTTTGAATGTTTAAAAAGAATGAACATAAGAATGCCAAAAAATCAAACAGTAACCCCCGGGCAGTAACCATAATATTCACTTTTGAATGCTGTTAAAAACAACATTTAACTTGAAATCACCTAAAATACTGCATAATATTATGTAGCCTTATGTAACAGACTAAGAACTATAAACATAAAAAACATGAAACATTCTTTAGCCTTTGTAACAGTTTCTAAGCTGATATTTTTTGCAAGGGAGCCTTCACTTATGATCAATGACACATGACCTCCCACAACCAATCAAAAAGTGTGTAATAATATACCTGGAATCTTGCCAATCAGCTGTCTTGTATTAAAGGTCACATAGAAAATCACATGATAAATTCCTGTCTTGCTGAAGATTTAAAGTATTGGTGAGTATAATTCACAGTCATATGATATTTGAAAATAATATAGTGTAAATGTGTATAAGAAAATATTATTAGGTTAGAATGAACATTATTGTAGTCCGCATTTATACCATGCCAGGACTAAAGTCCTGAGAATATCCCACTCCAAATCGATTGCCTATATCATGGGAGAATAGAATAATCCACACTTCTTTACACTTTAATACCTACCTCAACGAATTGCTGAATATTTTAGGATTCATTTTATGTAGTTGAATCCCTAATGATATGGGTGTATCGGCAGAGCGAGGACGTTTTTGTTTTTGGTCGCAATTTTGTGTGCGAGGTGCGACCTTTCTCAATGAAAGAGGAAAACGTCCTCGTTTTGCAGATGAACCCACACGATTGGCGATTCAACCACATGAAAAAGAATGCACTCTGGAATTTATCAAGGTTGGTATTTTGAGTGTAAAAGATCTGGATTATTCTCCCGCATTGTAATCATACAGGCAAAAGATTGAATGTTCTCAGGACTACAGTCTTGCCACAAGACTGTGGACCTCCCCCCCTTATCTACTTCACCAACAGGAGAAGTGTGTGGTTGGGAAGGGGGGGGGGGGCTCACAATGGCTTGTAGCTAGACTATATTGTTCAGGAAACTGATTTTCCCTTCACTGTTCAACACATACATGTAAGTATGACGGAAACAAAATTTATAACTAATTCATTTTTTCCCTTTCAGATACAGTATTAATACGTCATTACCAATTGAGCATCACCAATATTTACCTCCTAATAGATATTTTCTACAAATGGAAGGCACCATGGATACAACAGTCACAAACAATGACACTGTCATCAATGACACAATCAAAGAAGCCACTGTGAACAATGGCATCATCGATAATACTAATGTGAACAACAATGACACCAATGCTGTAAACAATTACATCGTTGATAATGTCTCTGTGAACTTTGACACCAGCGATGATGCTGTGAACAATGACACCATGGATAATTTTACTCTGAACAATGTTACCATCCATAATGCTACTCTGAACAGCACCATTGATAATGCCACTGTGAACTATGACACCAGTGATAATGCTGTGAACAATGACACCATTGATAATGCCAATGTGAACTATGACACCAGCGATGATGCTGTGAACAATGACACCATGGATAATTTTACTCTGAACAATGTTACCATCCATAATGCTACTCTGAACAACACCATTGATAATGCCACTGTGAACTATGATACTAGTGATAATGCTGTGAACAATGCCACCATTGATAATGATACTCTGAACAATAACACCGTTGATAATGCTACTGTGAACAATGGCATTATCGATAATTCTGTAAACAATGATACTATCAGTTATGCTGATGATGCTGTTAACATTGACACACTCAATAATGATACTGTGAATGGTGACACTATCAGTTATCCTAATGATTCTGTGAATGATGACACCATCAATAATGATACTGTAAACAATGACACCATTGTTAATGGTTCTGTGAACAATGACACCATCAATAATGATACTGTAAACAATAACACCAACGATAATGCTTCTGTGAACAATGACACCAACGATAATGCTTCTGTGAATAATGACACCATCGATAATGCTTCTGTGAACAATGACACCAACAATAATGCTTCTGTGAACAATGACACCATCGATTATGGCACAGTTAATAAGGCCACTGATGATAACAGTAACAATTTTTCAGAAACAAGATACAAAGTTTCTAGATCCATTGACTGTCATCCATGTGTTGTATCACTATGTCAATTAGAGGTGAAGCATATGAAATCTTGTAACAAACGATCAAGTCAAAAAATCAAATCAAATGCTTCCCCGAATCAATATAAATGTGACCTATGTTTTCATTCATTTAAAAGAAAACATAGCCTGAATGCGAATATGGAAATACATACTGGAAAGAAGAAATTCAAATGTGAAACTTGTTCAAAAGCATTTAGGAGAAAATGTGACATGATCAAACACATACAGAGACATACTGAAGAGAAGAAATTCAAATGTGACACTTGTTCAAAAGCATTTACAAGAAAGTGTGACATGATCAAACACATACAGAGACATACTGAAGAGAAGAAATTCAAATGTGACACTTGTTCAAAAGCATTTACAAGAAAGTGTGACATGATCAAACACATACAGAGACATACTGAAGAGAAGAAATTCAAATGTGACACTTGTTCAAAAGCATTTACAAGAAAGTGTGACATGATCAAACACATACAGAGACATACTGGAGACAAAGCATTTAGATGTAAAGTTTGCAGCAAAACATTTCGGGAAAAGGCAGCATTGATAATTCACTCTTTCACACACATTCAAGTGAAAACCTTCAGGTGTAATATTTGTAATACAAAATTCACCCTAAACAAAACATTAGAGGAACATCAAAAAATCCATGAAAAGGGAATTCTCTATCGGTGTAGTATCTGTTCCAGAGTGTTTACATCAGAGAGATGTTTCCATGAACATACCAAGGTTCACTCTCGGGAAAACCCTTACAAATGTGGCATTTGTTTTAAAGTTTTTGCCTCAGATGATGGTCTCATAAGGCACAGCAAGGTGCATGCAATAGAAAATCCCTACAAATGTGACATAAGCTCACAAGCTAAAAAGAAAGCATACAAGTGCCGAATTTGTACTTCATCATTTACACAGAAAGCCAGTCTGAAACGACATGTGGATATTTACCATGTTAATAGAACAGAAAATCCTTATAAATGTTATAACTGCAAGAGAGCATTTAAGCAAAAGGGCAATTATGTTCAACACTGTAAAGCAGTCCATGAAGGCTATAAACCATACAAATGTGAGACATGTTCCAAGACATTTGCAACCAAATCCAATCTTGGACAACATATGCGATTCCATACTTGTGAAAAACCCTTTCAATGTAAAATGTGTCCAGAAAAATTTGCAGGTAAATCTAACTTGATTTTTCATCACAAGAAGAAACACACTGAGGAAAGACCTTTCAAATGTGAAAAATGTTCACAAGGGTTTGTGCGCATGATGGATCTCAATCGCCACATAAAGACACACACTGGAGAAAGAGCCTTTAAATGTAACATTTGCTCAAAGACATTTCCAAGGAAATCAAGTCTTAAGGTACATGATATGGTGCATCAAGAAAAACAATTTAAATGTCAGTTTTGTTCTAGAGCTTATGCTAGTAAAATTGGTCTTTTTGAGCACAGTAGGACACATACTGGAGAGAAACTATACTGTAAGAAATGCGAAGAACAATTCACCCACAGTTCTACTTTGAAATATCATATGTTAACAATTCACACAAATAACAGAAACTACAAATGTCAAATTTGCTCAAAGGCCTTTTTCAGAAAATTTGACCTTGTTTTTCATAACAGAACTCATACTGGTGAAAGACCGTTCAAATGTGAATTTTGTTCAAAAACATTCAGTCAGAACTCACATTGTAACACTCATGAAAAACTGGTTCACTTGCAGAAAACAGATACCCTAAGTAAAATATGACATTATGACCTGATATGGCAGTTTTGCACTTCTTTTGTTAATGTTAGCAGTTACAGATGGTGTCCAGCCATCAACAGTTGTTGAAGTTATTCTTGTTAAGCTTGAGGGGTAAATGATGATTTTTGTTCTGACAAAATCTTGATTTTCTGTTGGAATTCAGGTAAGTAAAAAGAACATTTTCAAATTCCATTATACAATAATAAAATTGGTTTTTCTAAAGCTGTCAACATTTTGACACAATTTGTTTATTTGCTTTTCATGCTCATGATTCAAATATTGATCAAATATTGAATCCCTTTACTTATGAGAGACTGTATTCTGGTAAAACATATGAATATTATGTTTATGTTTTGTACATTGACTGTTTAGAGTACCATTTAACTGCGTTTGAGTGTATTATAGCTGATTTTTCATTTTTCAAGTTACTGTATGTACATTTTGCTTTTAAATTTTACCATATACCAGGTATATTTACTTCATTTTTAATTAGTTTAGTTTATATTTTGTTCAATTACTTTAGTTAACAGATATCATTAAAAAATTTCATTGTGACAAACATACAGAAGCCTCAGTGCAGAGGAGATCAATTATACTTATCGTGTACAAATTGAAAAAAAAAAGTGATTGGAGAACTTTTAAGTGTTACCAAAAATAAATAATTTAATAAGTAAAATATAGTCTTGTTCATTTGATAACACACAGAAAAAGTTTTGAGTTCAAAACAATTCAGTTTGCAAACAGCATTGGACATCCATCCCTAATAAACCCCCATCCCTCAAATTATCATTACTCCCGCCACAAATGAAAGGAACTAATATTAACAATTGCCTCTTCAGATAATTTGATCTTGCTAGACATATTAGACTTCATACTGGGGAAAGGCCATTCAAATGTGAATTTTGTCCAAAAGCATTTAGTAAAAGGTCATACCAGAGGAACCTCGAGCGAAAAGTACATTTGGATAATAAGGGAAAATGAATAAAATCTAGAAGACATTGGCTCACAAAGAAAAGACGCAATTTACCATGTTCCACTGCTCTCCTTTTCAACATTTTATAGCAGATCTGCATTCTTCATATACTCATTAGAATACATTAACCTCTTGAATCCCAGGTTCTAAAATTGGTTGAAACCAGAGAATTTTTCATTTTTTGCCACCTTTTGACATTTTACTACACACCTATACAACTTTAGATGCTCAACTTAGTAAAATTAGATGACACAGATCATCCCTTAACATTTTGAAACAATTTTTGTGTAAATTGGATGAAAGTTGTTCAAATTAGAGCAATTTTAGTGAAAACTTTTGTGACAGATTTTTTCGCCACTCAAGGTAGTCAAGAGGTTAATAATAGCAGACCAAGCTAAATTTCTTAAAGGTAGTAAGAAGGATAAAAACAAACTCCCTACCTGCTCTAATAGAATCCTCGCCCTTTCCTTCAATTCTTCGTGACGCGACGCACGTTTATTCTGGCCATCTCCCTCAGTTCCATTCCCAGCATTCCCAAGCTTCCTCCTCATCACCTCCTTCGTAGGTGACGATGAAGTCGATGATGTGTTGCTACTGGATTGTGATGATGTCATCCTCTGAGGTGGAGATGGTGACTTTTTGGGTGGGGCTACGTTGATGATCAATGGTGGCTCAGGCTCAGGACTGAAGCCAGGAATCACTGGAAGCTTTCTCTTGACCTGAAAAGTACCATGATTACAGTAAATAAAGACTGAGGATTAAATATCTATGTAAAGGAATGCAACATAATTCAAATTAACATATTAAACATATTTTTTATAAGGTGTTTTAATGTGTACTTTATGTTATACTTTGTCGAATGACTCAAAAAGTGACTGAGTGAAATGAGTTTTTCAGATAAGTTGATTTGAATAAAGACATCGAAAATTTAATTCTGTTTTGGGATTTTCAAAGTCCAATTACTGTTATTTACATTGTTCAATCATATCTGATTTATTGTGCATTTCAGTAATTTCACAATATCTTTTACTAAGCTTGTAGATTTAGATGAATTCAGCTCATAAATTATATTCTGTACTTAAAAGAATTTTACTAGAATACAGTAGTTACATGTAGAAGAAAGCTTGAATAATCCTGCATATTATGATGATGTTATAAAATTCTTGTACCATTTGAAATATACATGATTAGTGATTTTAAGTAACCAAAATGCATTCTAAACTTTATTTTATGAATAATATTACTTATTAATTGCATGCGTGTGGTTAGTAAACTATCAGTTAAGAACAAAATCAGTTTCTCCAAGATTAGTATGTTAAGGTTCATAGCATGCACTTAAAAGGACAAAATATTAGGTTAGATAAGACAATCATAGATGTCACACATAGCTTGCAAACAAAACTAGATTTAAGCAATGCCCTTTTCCATTTTGAGCAAGACAAGGCTTTAACATGACAAATACTGTAGTCACTATGTGTAGTCACATTAACATTCATGTCACCACCTGCCATTTGTTATAAACACCAACCCCTAAACATTGACCGCTGAACACTGTTCACAAAATTGTTGGAGACAATATATCACTACTTTTGATGGAGATGGTGACTTAAAAAATACAAGATCAGTTTTCAAATTAGACATTGATTAGTTTTCTATCTATATTTCTATCTATATTTTCACATTTTTGCTATAGATAACTGACAAAAATTTGTTTTTGTTATGATGCAATTAACAATAAAGATTATAAAGCTTTCAATACTGGCAATTAAATTATGTTATGTTTTTGTTATGGTTTCATTTAGGAAGTCAGCTGGTTAGTATTTAAGCTATAAGCAAATCATGCCTTAGTTCATTAGACCCATGATGCAGATTAGAAACCTTACATCATTCATGAATATTTGTCTTTCAGAAGTTTTTACCCATCACATTAACCCAAAAATTAAACATGCCAGGGTACATATTATATTAGCAAAATTCAAAAGGTTAATATTTTCATTGTAAATGAATGAATTTGAATGATGGGTAATAACATCCTTTATCTAAACGTTAGCCCTTCTCCAGAGAGAGTTTATTCCCAGAAGCCCCAGAAAGCATTCTGCCTCTTGGCTGACATGACACTAGATTTACATATTATATAACTTAACGAAGTTCACATCAAAATCTTTTAACTGAAGTCATGCAATAGCATCTTGGCTGTTGGAAATAAACCTCACTTGACCCCAAATTGTCAGTTTGACATTGACCCCAAAGGTCACACAGAGGTCATTGAGTGAATACCTTATCCACTAAAGAAAATGCTTGTTTTATATATCTGTTGCCTGTAGACTTATGTTCGAGGTAGTTTATTACACGATCCAGGGAAGCTTGATCTAACAAGGCTAAAAGCTAAAACATGAAAGCAATACATTAGTTTTATATTTCACATACATGCATATATCACACACATTGAAGGGTTTAAACTTCACACTTAAGTTTGTCTGTACATGCATGCATAGTTTACACACATTTTCTGATGGTTAGAAGCTCTGGGAGGCATCAATATGCAATTGTCAATTCTAGTACATAGTCCATTTGTCACCCCTATACATCCAATAGTGAACCTAGAAATTGTTAAAAGTACGATGTTTTATGGTCGATTTATGATAATAAGGGTTTTCTGAAGTGATTTAACTGGGTTGCCGAAAAAGTTTGTTTGGGGAACAAATTATATAGGCTGATTAGGGAGGGGAGCAATCGCTTAACATGGCGTTGACTTAGACTTAGCGTTTGGATACCACCATATACCTGGTATGTTACCATGGTAATAGATACCAAAATTTTCCCCAAAGTTATTTTTTTGGCAACCCAGCTAAATCACTCCAATAATCCCTAATGATAGTATTTACACAGAAAAACATCATACTTTTAAATATTTATACGTTCAGAAAATGACAAATGGACTTACAGCTTGGTGGTAATATTAACAACATTTAGTAGAAAATATATTTTGTAAATGCATAACAATTTTTTCTAACAAAATGGATGCTTATTTATACAAAAAAACAAAACAAAACAATTAAACTTAAAAAATAAATGATTTTGACATGCACAGATGAAACAATTTCAAGTAATGCCCCATTTTACCATAATATCAAGCCCCTCCTATATGTAACACATGGGTTGTTTCTTTGAATTAACTTCATTCAAATAAATAATGCCTATTTAATTGGCAATTAATTAATTAATTTCATTTAGAGAGAAAATATTGATTTTTCAGTTACTATAACTATATCTTTATCACCACAACTTTCAAACATAAGGTTCAGTTTTTTGAGAAAAGACTGTATTTTGGTATATGAATTGTCAAATTAATGCCCGAGATGCCTTTTAAGGAAAATGATGAGCTTTAATTATGAGAGAGAACACAATTCTTGGCCTTTCACTTCAAATCTCAAAAATGTTGAGGTCCCTTGTAAAACTGGTAATTCTGTAGGCATCAATGAAAATAACAAAACTCAAAACAAAAGTATAAATAAATAGCAAAATATGTGCGTACACACCAAGTCATACCTGCCAGACATTCCCAAATATAAAACAGGAGATTATAGTAAAAAAGAGAAAAATCTTAAACAGGCATGATAAAAGAGATTCTCTGGATCTCTGGATCAATTTAATAATAATTAATCCCAGAAAAAGATTAGAATGGGCTTAAAACATGATGTTCTTAAAGGCAGGAGTCAATTTCTAAAATGAAATCAGTTAGAGAATATTTGATTTTGGAGCTGGCAGGTATGTAACATGCATTTACATCAATTAATAATGTGACATTCTCCTCACCTCTGTTCCTGACTTAGATTTCTCTTCCTTTCTTGTCTTCTTCTCTTCATTTCTTGAATCTTTCCTTGATTGTCCTTTCTCTGGTGATGCCCTGATATTAAAATATGCTTCAATAAGAAACAGCCACAACATGTCTAATTTCTCCATGTTAAATCTAGGGAGCAATCATGTCAGTCAATGACTCAATTTTAATCCAGGAATTTAAAATGTTAGAATTAAATCTAAGCAAAAATGTCTAAAATTATGTGTTCTTTTAAGAGTTCTTTTTAAAATTGTTTTCTTCTTTGATATCCGGCTCATGGCATCTATTATGCAGCAATGTTTGATATAGTTATCACTTTTAATATAAAGTTTGATAAGTTTTATCAAGCTTATTGAAAACATTGTTAAGCAAAGTTTCTCTGGTTAGACTGACTGCTGCTCATGATGACAAACTTATAGTTTCTAAAAAACAAAAAACAAGATAATCAAAAGTTTGTATATCTTAAGACTTAATTGTTAGGGGATCATATAAATAGTAAATGTAACCCTGGGTTTTAAATATACCTGTACTGTATGGGTATCAACAAAAAATAAAAATCATACTTTATTTTCATATTCACATGAATACAATATTCTTTTTTATTTAAATACACCGAACAAAAGATAAAAAATATATTGTAGTAAGTAGGATAATTGGCCTATTTTTGAGTTGGTCCCTCATTTTTAATTCCTGGTTTCATGGTCATCAAGGCCCAAAACTTTACCCAACAACCTCTAAGTAAAGTATACGGACCTTGCAGTGGGCAACAACAGAACCTGGACTTACAAGCAATATGGAAAAAAATATATAGACACCTTGAAATAGGAACACCTTTCAGTCTAATTTTGGAATTTCAAATTGAGGAACATTCATCCTCCTTAGCAGGTCTCCGGAATCAGTACCTCCTTCCCCCTGCTATAACCAATTTGGAACCGCAAGATTAAACTGAATCATATGATCTAATTATGCGCAAATTATACATGATTTCTGTCGCAGTGTTGTGACAGCCAATCAGATTGCTAGTTCTTAATCAGGAAAATGCTAACTGCTTATCGCAGGGGGTAAAAAGAAAGAATATATTCTGGATTTTGAAGCCCTGTGATCGAAGGATGGGAACATAATATTAGAACATTTTAATGCACGGTGAGCACTTTCACCTTAAACAGTGTTTGTGAATAAAACCAAACCATTGTATTCAAATGTGCCCGAGGCCTGTAGGCAAGGGGGTTCGAACTTCCCCCACCCCTCGTTGGCCAAAAAAAAATCGTTCAAAATCATGCAGTTTTTCACCATTCTGAGTATTTTCCAAGTGATTTTGGCCATATTTGGACCAAAATTGTTGAAAGTGACCCCCCTGGAATTTCTTTAAAAAGTAAATGCTCCCTTAGCAAATCCTGGCTACAGGCCTGTATGCTACAGGAGTTGGCAGTCGTACTTACAAAGCATCTGTATGATGAAATGAGGAATAAATACAACTGAGACTGCTTTGGTAACACAATTTCTCCTTAAATGGGCAATAATACCTCAATGAAAGCACTTTACAGGACCATTGCTTATTAACTTTGGTTAAACATTTGTTACTGTCTTTTACTGTCTGTTTCCTTGTTGTGCTATTATATCCAATATATTTTTCCTCTAAAGGACGGAGGTCCTGTTTGATTTGCTTTCATTTATTTCTGACATTAACTCCCTTTGGTCCTACATTGAATGAATGAACTGCCATTGTTGAAACAGAAATTGCTATTTTTCTCAATCAATTGCCAGAAACATGATTTACAGATCAGCCGATGTTTCATTAAACCATATTTTAAATTGATATTGATGTGAGTATCTCTACACTTTGAAATTTTACTAGGTTGTTAAATGCTCGTTTCTGAATGAGTGACTTTTGCTTAAGTAAGATTTCAGGAGGATCCTATGCACTTCCACTAATTGAAGTTAACCACTGAAGCCATCTTAGGTAAAGGAGAGCTATTAGCATGTGTTATGAGAAAAAAATTTATTTCAAGATCTAAAAGCTGCAAATAAAAGAATAAGAAATGTTTAAAATGATATTTTCAGACTTCATACATACCGTAACTTTCTAAACAAAATTAACAAATCCGCATGTAATAATTTTATATATTAGTAGCATATCTAGTATTATAAAAATAGTACAGGCTTGGGCCAAGGTTGGAAATGATTGTTTTTGGTTGCCATGGTTTTGATTTTATATAGTTCTACAATACATTGCAATAAATCATAATTCTGATGACACATGTTTTTGAAGCACTCATATTTTCTTGTTAGAACCCAAGATTTTTTCTAAGCCTTTTTTTCAAAGAGCATTTATATAGACTAAGCATTATAAAGCAAACACCTGAAGTACAAGAACAGTCTAGACTTAGATCAAGGGTTTCCACTAGAAGTAAACAAAACATTTACATTTGCCCTGACCAAGGTTTTTGAATCCCTACGAAATATTGATGAAGTGAGATATTTAGGTGTTTTTGGCCAACTGACAGAACTCTGGAAATGTTAATAAATGGTTCTTTCTTCATTTTGGTATTTACATTTTGCCACATTGGGCTTTTTTAATGTAAATAAAAGTATAAAATTATAGAATTTTTATTCATTTCATTATAGCAATGGTCAAAATATTTAGGTACATTGAAGCGACCATTACTCACATCTCCACCATGTTAATTGTGGAGTTAATAGTTTTACAATGTCATGCGGCAAGCTTCAAACATTTTAAAAACATAAAGACTTTTAGACCACAAATATGGCAAAAAGTCCACAATGTTTGGCTCAGTAAACTCCAATCAGATAGGAACAAATCATCTCATACAGGGTAGGCCAAAAGTGTGAAACTCATATGACTGCAGATTGAAGAATCCAAATTATATATATTTAGTCAACACAGATTCACTTGCAAAAATATTATATAAAAATCAGATTGTAAAATTGATACCATTTAGTGCAGCCCCATCGGCACTAATTTCTAGTATTGAAATAGTGCCACAATGAGATCATGAAACATTGTAGCTAAAATTGTTTTTATTGCTAATCCTCGTCATGGCAGTAGATCTGGCCCTTAAAGCATATCAGATAATCACTCTATCAGGCTCATATCGATTAGCAACAACTTATAGTCTGGGACCTATCTATCAAATCAAAACTGTTGACAGGGGAAATTGGAAATCTTACAAAACAACTAACGTCACATAATTTCAGAAATACATCCAAAATATTGTGTTTATCGAGACTATGATGAACTCGGAGATAATCATTTATATTTCGAACTGTTCAATAAATTGAAAGATATACTACACGAGGAACACAGTTCCAACTTTCGTAATAAATTACAAAGGGATAATGGGAATATTTAATATGATAAATGTGTTATTTCCAGAAGGATGGTCATTTAATTAGGGAACTTTGATCTTCACTAAGGAGAGGTTGTAGAGGAACAGACTTACAGTCTATTTCATTTCATTGCTAAGGATGACGAATAATTGTAAAAAGAAAATAATCAGTGTGTCTCCCAAAGTTTCCCAGGCCCATAGCCAAGGGGTTCAGGAGTGCAAGCAACCTACCCCCCAGCCAAAAATTATTTCAAAATCATGAAGTACCATTCTGAGCACATTTCAAGTGATTATGGGTCAAAATGGTCATATGGTGTGAACCCCCCTAGTCAAAGGCTGGCTATCCTGTCTCCTATGTGTGAAATCTCAAATAATGAAATTCCAAGGAAAGAAAAAGAGCAGGTGATATTTTGATTGATTGATTTTCACTGATTGTGAGTGTTAATTTTCTTTTTTTGTAGCACAGGTATAAGTGGTAACCATTCTCTCCACTGGTGGATCCAGTAACTAACAAGGGGGGGGGGCACATTTCAATTCGTAAAAAAAACATTTTTGGGCCTTTATATCCCAAAATTGGGCCCAAATTTTGAAAATCTAAGGCCCATTTTCGATAATTTGGCCCAAAAAAGCCAAGTAATGCCAAAAACAAAGGCCCACTAATTGAGGTCCTACATATTTTTTGGGGCAAAACAAACAAACCAAGGAGGGGGGGGGGCGAGCCCCATGGATCAGCCAGTGCTCTTTACATAAAAATTAACAGAAAAAGTTGGGAGAACTGATGATGCTTGTCATACATTTTATCAGACACAGCATTGACCCTCAGCAAGTGTGAAAATATTGGTTGAACTATTTTGCTCCGAGGACTTGAAATGAAAGTAAACCTCCTTGCAATGTTCTTTCCTATACACCTATAGCACTATTAAGAAGGTACTAGGTGGTTTTGACCAGAGTTTTATAACAGTATCAGCAATACACATTTACCAATAAGTCTAACCAGAAACATCCCTAATGAAAAAATACTGATAGAAATCAAATTAAGAAAGGAAAAATTGAATGAATAATGATAGTAAACGTTGTAAAACATTGAAGTCAGCTATATCACCTACATCTCTACACCCCCTAAAATAAACATTGCATACAGCCACCAATAAAACCTGAAATAATCGATTACAACATTTATAAGTCCCGCTGCCTCTGTGTATCATACTTAAGTCTTCTAGTCCTGTGTTTATCTCTTCGCTCTCTCTTAGCTTCTCTCTGCATTTTCTTCTCCCACCTCTTCCAGAATATCTCCAAAAGCTCCTTCTGGTGTTCATCAGTAGATGATCTACGAGGTCATTCATTAACAAAATAAACATATTGAGCATGCATAATTACAATACCTAATCACATAATAACAATATAACTAGTCCCTAGCTGCAATGCAACAAATTAGTGACAACTATAACAATGTTATGGTCAAAGGAGGAGATTTCCCAGAGTTCATAAATGACCGCATGCTTGTACATGTACTGAAAGACTGACAATTGCTTGAAATTTTTTAAACCAAAAACAAATTCTCAAAACCAAGAAGGCCAGCATAACCTTAGGTGATATGTCATTTTTTGCTGGTCACAGTCAATCTGAATCAACAAATATATTGGTGGAAATAATTTTTAAAAGCTCTACATTTGTTCAATCATTTTGAGTACTTATCCAGTATCCTGTGGCAGGTAACCAATGATATCATAATATAACATTCAAGGATTCTGGGAACTCTCCTGCAATATAGACGTTCACTTCCTGTCATACAGACACCAAGGGCAAACGTAATACCCAGAACGTTCGCAAATTGGCGTTCGGTTTTTTACCACATCCGATTTGAATTAGCCAAAACACCATTGTCTAATGAAGACCAAAAAAAGCCCCTGATGTCGAGTCGTTTCTCGTTTTGGCTGGTACACAACTAAGCCCCAGGTATTAAATAAACCCTTGCACACACTAGGTTCCATGCATACAATTCAATATGATAAGAGTGATCAATGATCATGCTGTTCATGTTAAAACACCATCGAAAACAGAGGAATGAATATCATTTAAGCAGTTCACATATCTTCTTTTCCCATTTGTTTCACCAAGAAAAGCATGACAACAAGCAGGACATTCTAGAAAAGGCAACATTAACAAGTAGACAACATGTATGTGGTGTCTCACCTGCTGTCCATAGAGATCTCAGGAGGGAGACTGTGCCTGTTGCTAAGAGAGCTCTTCTGTGGAGGAGGTGCAGTCATCTCACACTCATCATCCGAGTCAAACGGGTTCATCAGCTGTTTACGCGTCATTAAAGGAGGTTTCTCAGGTGATGGCGATTTACTACTACGGTTGCTAGATGGTGGAGAGGAATTTACAACGCCTTGTTTTCTCGGGGATTCCCCTCGTTTTGTTCCATTTTCTTTGGTACTGGGTTTACTTAGACGTTTCTCGATTATATTCGAACGGCGTTTATCCTTGCGTAATTCCACATCTGTGTTTGAGTTAGAGTCTTTCTCAGGGGAGCTACTTCCACGTTGAGACTTCAATCTTTGTTCGTGATATGAGTTCAGTTCTGAGATGTTCATCGTGGCTTCGTCTCCTGAGTCGCCTCCCTGTGATGATGCGATACTATTGAGAACACTGACTTCCTCTGGCTCATGCTCCTCCTCTCCATACATCTCTTTAGTTATCCTTGCCTCGACTTCATCATCATCTTCGTGGTCACCAACAGTGTACATACTCTCACTCGCGTTTAAACCAATCTGTTGAATCTCTAACGTCTGCCCAGTGAAATATGCCCTTATTTGGTATAGATATGTCATTACTGAAAGTTTATCTGGGACCGACTGTAGTACCATATCCGATGGTTCAAGAACCTTTGGGATTCCAAGCGTGGCTGCAGCATCAAACGCCTGAATATGAGAAAAACATTTTGTATAATTCTTGTATATATACGAAATACCCATTAAAGATCACTATTTGACCAAATCATAATATACTAGCGAATAGGTCATGGTTACAAAAAATTGTGCTGTAGTAAAACAGTGCTTAAAACAATAGATTGTGACCAGCTTGTTAGTTATGGCCTTATATCTAATACACCAAGGGCCTCATTGAATCCAATGAATACATAAATATCAATGTATTCCCATTGTAACAAATCCCTTTGTATTCACAGATTCACTTCAAATGAATGCAAATCCAGAGGGGATTTTTTATTGCTCATGAAATGTGTTTTAATCGAAACATTTAAAGATCAGTCAAATATCTCAATTGAGGAAATAAGTCAGAAAATGATTTAGCCGGAAAATGTCAAATTTTCTTACCTTTTTACAGTTGCCTTTAACATCGTGAGGCGATAGTGACTCAAAATTTCTGCAATGAAATATTAATCTTGTTAATGCAGTAAATCAAGAAATGTCATTTCTCAGCTAGCTTGAATTTGAAGAAGTGCGTATCAAATATCAAGTTTTCCAATACTCTCTCAAAGAACATTCAGCAAAAATCTTTTCAAAAAGTTTTCAACCTTATCAAAAGTCAAACCTCTTTTCTGTTCATTTAAGCATGTATGTCTTCACATGGCTTTATTTCATTGTAATTCCTTTTTATCATGATATTTCCTGTAGATGGTATGACCATAGAGTGACTTTAGAAAATCAATCTTAAATCAATACAGCCCGACGCAATCCATTTTCATTCAGCTATCTAAATCCATGGAGCATTACAAAAAGCATTGAACACAGTCATTGTGTAATAACAACAATTTGTGCACAGATTCAAGAGGTCAACATTCCTGAGAAAATCAAGACAATTAAGGAATTCGTTGGAAGGGAAGTTCCACCAGAGTGATGATCTGCATTTAATGATTTTCAAAACGTTGTATTCTATTAGATTGTTCTTCACATCAAACAGGCGCCAAACTTATTAACTGTAAAAACCAATAACCACCAAGAAATAAGGCAAACTTGATCCATATTAAAATCATCACATCGATACATGGTATACTTGAGCAGTTGCGAAACAGTGATTAAAAGACGCAGAATAAAAACGACAGAAAGTGTAATTTACAATATGCGTGACATAACAACTCAGAATAAAAACAAGAGTTCCGACATTTACGAACATTAAAGGAATATTCCTTGCCAGACCCTTTCTCTCTTGATATGGTAGCTATAATCATATATATAGTTTCCATATTTAGCAAAACATGGGAAAATGTTTTAATATGGTCAATATTGATCATTTAAAAATCTAGTGCTTATTTCCAGTGAGCTGCCATCTTTTAAGATTTCTTGCAGGAAGTGATGTCATCAACTCTCAACTTCTATAACCTTGCCCATAACAGTATAGGAAAGTAGCACAAAATCACTTCTAGACAAGTGATCATTACTTTCTGTGCAAAAATATTTTCAGGGCTTGTCAACTTAGAATAAAAGAAGAGATTTTCAGAAGGATTAAATAAGATACAAAGTTGAAAAAGAATATTTAGCTGGTTTTGTAATTCTTAATAGCTCCTCACCCAATGCTATATGCAAAGTTGAGAGTCGATGACATCACTTCCTGTGTGAAATTTTAAAAGATGGCAGCTTACTGGAATTGAGCATCACATTTCTAAGTGATCAAATTTGACCATATCAAAACATTTTTGCGTGTTTTGCTAAACATGGCAAGCATATATATGGTTATAGCTACCATATGAGGAGAGAGATGGTTTGGCAAAGAATATTCCTTTAAATTAGAAGGTTTGATCAGTCATTGTGACCCTATAAGGGAAACATTAAATGTCTCACACGTTCAAGTGTCATGGTGATATCAGATTCCTACTCCAATTAGAGTGAGCCAATATAATATAAATGAATTAGTTAAAACAATTGATTTACTTTGACTGACATCAGGGCATGGTGACATTTCTGATTCTTTGATGCCAAAAACGAAATTGTTTAATTTGTTGAAATAACCTTTGACTTGACTGGAAACAGATGATAATTTGGAATTTATTATCTTACACTTCAGAATTATGTTTTTGTAATATATCAGGAATGAATAAAAAAAATCGTATCTAAAAATCTGTACTTACATAAGTTCAGGTCTAAAATAGTGAATCACCGCACAGAACGCAAGTCCATTTCGCCATGATGTTGTCATATTTGTGACCTTGACCCCTTTGTGACCTTGAGTGACCTCTTTGCACCAATCTAGCAGATCCTGTGTTGGAGTGATGCCAACTTTCCTGACAGGAGTTGGCTTTTGCTGGAAACATATAATATCCCATAGAACGTTGTGAATTGTCCTTGTACAGAGCACCATGTTTAAAATTATCCCATTCTTTCCTGACGAAAATTATCCGTACAAAGTTTCTCAGATTTCCAAATTCAGATATCAATTTAGTTCCAATAGTTTTACATTTACATAGTCACTTCTTTTTACACTTTATGACGGCCCTAAAATTCTAGCACTGTTCACATTTTGGCAAAATTTTTGTCATCCATCTCATATATCTTAGTTTCGATTTCTTTTACAAACACGATTATCATTTTCCTTTTTTGTACATTATATACCAAAATAGTTTTATCAAGGTCTCAGACAGTACAGTTTATCCATAAAGACTTTTGATTGTCCATATCAACTAATTGTATCCTGGTATTCATCGTGCCCTTGTTTTATTACGTTAGTGTCTCAGACAATCTCTTTTGGCATGTTTACCACAATGGTGATTTAAGGCATTGGAAATTATGCAATGATTTAATGCAGCAGGTTTTCCAAGTCCTCATCAGTTATGATCCCAGCACTGCGGATGTCATGCTTCATTTCACTTTATATTTCTCGAAATGTCTAACAAGAGTAAGAGACAAGAGTTGTTCATTTGTTGATTTCCAGATACAGTAGTTTCAGATGTTGAGATATTTTCTTATTTCCTCTATTTTCTTAAACAAAGCTAGGTTAGATTTAAGAGTGAAGGAATGGCATCCTGTCAAGATTCACTCAGGCAATTAAGATGGTTCATGATGATTGAGTAATATAAGGCTGTAAATTGTGTCCCAGGAGGACCAAAATGGCTGGCATCATAGATCCTATCTATAGATGACCTACAGATGCATGTTGTAATCTTGCAATTTAAAGCAACTCCTCACAAGTCGAACAAAAACTGTGTCTTACTAAAACATGATCAAAAATGACATTTCGATTTTAGAGCTGACTTTATATTAGACACAATAAGCACAGTGCAGCTTATTAAATTACCTATAATTTCCCTTGATAAAAAAAACTTATTTGACAAACTCTTTTGCCAAATTCTCACACAGTACACCTTGCATCTTCAATTTTAAAAAAATGACAAATGCTTTTGAGAAAATTGAACTTTTTCAAAAGTGGACCCAAAATTGGGGATTATTGACCCCTTGTCAATTTCCAGCTGTGTTTTTGATCTCTACATCATCTTTGGTCTTATATGTATCTCTAACTAATTTTTACAGACAAAAAACGGCTGACAGGATCGATTTATCACTCAATTGGCTCAAGGGATGCCCAGGTCAACCAATGGACGTTGACTTCTGTATAAATGCCTCATAGATCCATTAATACATTTATAGTAGCTGCTGATTAAAAGATAATCCTATATTGCTCTGGTAATCTCAATTCAAAATGCTTATCAGCAACATTCAGGTCCTAGTCTGTCGTTGGTAAGAGAAACCCCTGGATGGATGTTTCTGACCTTTAATCTCCCAGGAAACTAGTGATATATCGAAAAATCCAAATCCTACCAAGGTTCAAGAAATAAGCCAATAGTAATAGTAATCCATAATAGTAACAATCCTTTGTTCATATTGTTTGAATATTTTCTTAAATTCAGCTTCGCAAGAAATCGCAACCAATTACTATCTTTGCAATGTCTGTCTGTCTGTGGTAGTGTGTTCTGAGAATGTCAATGTTCGTTTATCCCTGATAACTTGCACATTTTTCTGAATGAAGTAATTGACTTTTGTCCACCAACTTCCCATAATTCTCAATCTGTATTATGTAGAGACGCGACCAGCGTGACATCGTGTATGGTTGTAATGTTAAACAGATCTAAATAACCTCGGGTTCAATTAAAGAAACCCTCGTCAATTGTTCGTTAATTTCTTATTTCAAAGTCAAGCTGCCCATTGAAAATAAAAAAGCTATAATGGTTCATGACTAGACATAAAATTGAGAACCATATTCTTAACTGCATCATTGCAAATGTCCATTTCTTAATTAAAATACATAAAATGCATCGTGTGAATATCGTAAAAATTTCTGGAGAAGTTGAGCTCTTAGAAAGTAAGGCGTCGACAACAAATCATGAAATTGTTCTCTTAAATTAGTGCTGCAACACTAATAAGAGAATGCGAACTACACTTCTGTATTTAATTTCAAAACCTTGAAACACAACAATGAACAATAAAATCATTTCTGTTTTTAATAAAAACTAAAATAAAATATAAATGAAAAAGATAAAAAAGAAAATATATGTATCATTCGATGTCAATAAAATAATAATTAATGTTGAAAGAAAAACTGCTTGAAATATCAAAATACATGAAATGATGTTGCAAGGCCCCTAAATGGGTAGTTTGAGAACTGAATGAGTTAAAAGGCTAATTCTCCAAATGTAACTAGTCCCAGTTAGAGACAAATGATGATTCTATTCAAAAAAGAAAATTACAGTTGAAGAAATAATTGCTAAAAGCCATTGTAACAATAGTATTCTGGTCTATAAGGAGAACTTAAGTGTGTCCGATGACGACAATATGCACAGTGGGTGTTTAAGTTTACGTGTACTGTAGTGTATATGTGGTATACTTTAGTGTTTTATCGTACAATGTTGTATCATGCAACCGTTAAAAATGAACAATCAAAGATAGGCAGCTTAATTTTAACATGCAAAATGTCACCACCTGTCATTTGTTACATTTGTTGCAGACACCAAATGCTACCATTAAATGCCAAATACTCTACACCATCAAAAAAAGTTGGAGACTATAACAAAATATCATCACTTGTAGCGAGAATATAAACAGCACATGAATTGGACCCTTATAAAATAGATATGAGGATAAGTTATAGATATGAGGATAAGTTAGAGATATGAGGATAAGTTATAGACATGAGGATAAGGTATAGATATGAGGATAAGTTATACTATATAAGTTATATGAGGATAAGTTATATGTATATATGAGGATAAGGTATAGATATGAGGATAAGTTATAGATATGAGTATAAGTTATGAGGATACATTATACATATGAGGATAAGTTATAGATATAAGGATAATTTATAGATATGAGGATAAGTAATGAGGATAAGTTATAGATATGAGGATACGTTATACATATGAGGATACGTTATACATATGACGATAAGTTATAGATATGAGGATAAGTAATAGATATGAGGATAAGTTATAGATATGAGGATAACTTATAGATATGAGGATAAGTTATAGATACGAGGATAAGTTATAGATACGAGGATAAGTTATAGATATGAGGATGAGGATAAGTTATAGATATGAGGATGAGTTATAGATATGAGGATAAGTTATAGATATGAGGATAAGTTATAGATATGAGGATAAGTTATAGATATGAGGATAAGTTATAGATACGAGGATAAGTAATAGATATGAGGATAAGTTATATATATGAGGATAAGTTATAGATATGAGGATAACTTATAGATACGAGGATAAGTTATAGATACGAGGATAAGTTATAGATATGAGGATGAGTTATAGATATGAGGATAAGTTATAGATATGAGGATAAGTTATAGATATGAGGATAAGTTATAGATATAAGGATAAGTTATAGATATGAGGATAAGTTATAGATATGAGGATACGTTATACATATGAGGATAAGTTATAGATATGAGGATAAGTAATGAGGATAAGTAATAGATATGATAGATATGAGGATGAGTTATAGATATGAGGATAAGTTATAGATATGAGGATAACTTATAGATACGAGGATAAGTTATAGATATGAGGATAAGTTATGATATGAGGACAAGTTCAGACAAATTTCAGTTAGATAGACAGATGGACAATCAAGCAATTCTTTTGTTTTTTAAATATAAATAAACCAAATGATGAAAGCAGGTTTGAGTTTGAAAGCCAATTCTAGTAAATGTCCTCTGAGTAACAAAATTGAGTTATTACAAAGAAATTGATGTTGAAACCATGATTTCAATTCAACTTTCCCGTCTAATTTTCGATCTCTCGAGAGGATGTTAGGAACGGCTCGTGATGTGGTACCTCATTTATGTGAGTTCATATTTCACACTACTAAGGAGTAAGCAGGTAAATATTTTAACCACCAAAGAGATTCTGAGACACCCAGGGGCACATATGTCACAGTAACTTTGTTATTTCATGTGAAATAAAGAAATGAGGAAGGAGCATAATCAAATTATGTTAACACAAAGGTCAAAACGTAAAAAAAAATTTGTAGATAAAAGAGAATTTCATTCCATGACTGTCTAGCTATCGATAATCTGAGAGGTTATATGTCAAACTGACCTTGAAGTTAATCAAGCTTTTTCTCGTTATCTCAAAACTTATTGATCATGGATTAGAAGATCTAAAACAGAGAGATATTTTCCAGAAGGAAGAACACAAGGTTGATCACGGAAACACTTATACTCAGTGATGCCCAGTATCAATTTAATGTAAATTAATGAGGCGTTAGTTTTAATGGTTTCATTGTAGCAATAAATCAAATCGTAATTTCCTGGATTTTGTGAACGGTGTCTCAGAATTTAACCTTTTCACTAATTATGTCCCTTGTCTGCTCTTTATACATTGTTCTATAATTAAACGAATCAGATTCAATTTTCTCACAGAATTAACTAAATTACCGCAATGTGTTTATTGCTTAATCACACGGGATCACATTGTCGCCATTAATAACGGTGTTCTGTTGGCCTTAATTTGTTGCATATTGAAAGATTCGCGTTTATGAGTGTCTGCATGACTTTGTGATTATACAACAGGCCCGAACCAGGGAGGTTACTGGGGTTTGAATGAACCTCCCCTTAGCTAAAGATTCTTACAAAATCATGCAGTTTTTCACCATTCTGAGAGCTTTTCAAGTAATTTTGGACCAAAATGGTCAAATTTCTTTTGAAAAGTGAACCCCCTTGGCAAAAGCTGGCGACAGGCCTGCACTACAATATTCAAACAAGAGCTTGCAAACTTGTGTTTTGTTATAACTCATTTTGGGCATCCGAAAAATGAACAATCTTGTGTAATTTTGATATTTTAAGATGATTGGCTACAACAAGGCCAAGAACATTGACAAAGTGGAAAATATAACCTTGTTATATCAAATACAATTAGACCTCAGGCATTTAAATAAATTATTAATTGTAAAAAATACTCTCTCATTTAATAATATCACTGTTATCCAGATATTGCAAAATAATACAAAGATGAAAGTTTGCCGACAAAATGTCTCTAATATCTAATGGAATGACCTCTATTGCTCTTTTCTAATAAAAGAATCATAATAGAACATGAAAAGAACACCCATATACAATTGATAATCCATAAGTAAGTATGAAAAATATCTTATGTCAAAAATGGAGTCTCTCTGAGATGTCCAAAAAATGTTTTTGAGATAGAGCTTTACTGACTTTCAACGTTAAATAAACTCCTCTCCTGGGATGTGTAAATGTGATATTCTCTCGCATATTCACAAGAAAATACCCAAATTATGTTGTTTTATGGTTGTCTTTATGTTTTTGCTAACTTCAGTTAATTCTTGTCGATGTGTTAATAAATGCAATGGCATCATGACCAAACTATGAAACCTTTTATGAGGGAAACACAGTTACTTAAAAGAAAGTAGGCTCATAGAGGGGCGTGTCTGGATAAATAACAAATACTAAGGCTGACTCTTGACTGACCCCTCGGTGCTTATGGTAACTCCCTGATTCCTAGGTACTTAGGGTGACTCCCTGACTCCTTGGTGCTTAGGGCAACTCCCTGACTCCTAGGTGCTTTAAAGGAGACTGCCTGACACCTAGGTGCTTAGGGTGATTCCCTGACTCCTAGGTGCTTTCAGGGAGACTCTCTGACACCTTGGTGCTTAGGGTGATTCCCTGACTCCTAGGTGCTTTAAGGGAGACTCCCTGACACCTAGGTGCTTTTAGGGAGACCCCCTGACACCTAGGTGCTTAGGGTGACTCCCTGACTCCTAGGAGCTTAGAGTGACTCCTAGGTGCTTAGAGTGACTCCCTGACTCCCAGGTGCTTAAGGTGACTCCCTGACTCCTAGGTGCTTAAGGGGACTCCCTGACTCCTAGGTACTTAGGGTGACTCCCTGACTCCTAGGTGCTTAGAGTGACTCCCTGACTCATAAGTGATTAGTGTGACTCCCTGACTCCTAGATGCTTAGGGTGACTCCCTGACTCCAAAGTGCTTAGTTTGATCCCCTGACTTCTAGGTGCTTAGGGTGACTCGCTGACTCCCTGACTCCTAGGTGCTTAGAGTGACTCCCTGACTCCCAGGTGCTTTAGGTGACTCCCTGACTCCTAGGTGCTTAGGTTGACTCCCTGACTCTTAAGTGCTTAGGGTGACTCCCGACTCCTAGGTGCTTAGGGTGACTCCCGGACTCTTAAGTGCTTAGGGTGACTCCCTGACTCCTAGGTGCTTAGGGTGACTCCCTGACTCCGAGGTGCTTAGGGTGTCTCCCTGACTCCCCGACTCCAAGGTTCTTAGGGCAACTCTTTGACTCCTAGTTGTCGAGTGTAGATTAAAGAATTCTAGAGACTTACCTGTTCTAGGCTGAGAGGTTCTAAATTTGGTTTCTCAGCAGGAGGTTTGAAGTCTGGACTAGGATCCCTGTAAGGAGAGCGACTCTTGGATCTTTTATCTGGCCTGGAAAACAGAAGAAAAATATAATTATGGAATGTACAAACATTTGCAGTCATTTCACATAACATTGTTGATCAACAAGTTTTGCTCTTACATGATAAATTACAGGATTTTAAATTTCTAAAGGTCACTGGCGGAGCTTGGGGCCGATTATTGAACCTCTTTGGGCATTACTGGGCCTTATCAGGCCTTTTTTTAATTTTAGGCTAAATTATCAAGAAAATTGGCCTTTAATTTTTAAAATTTGGGCCTAAAATTTTTTCCACGTCAGCACTGAATTTTTTTATCAGATTTTAAATTTGCCTCTTCCCTTTGTTGGTTTCCATATCCGCCCCTGTGAAGGTGATTAGTTTGGTATAACTTACTTACAACTTAATTGTAAAGGTCTGTTTGCCCATGACGTCAATATAAAAGCTTACATGGGACAGATGCAATTCAAGAGAGACACTAAGATTATTCAATGCCCTGACTGTATTGCTCCCTAAGGGATGGTGTCCAAAGATTTTACAGTTATGGAATAATAAAGTAAATTTTCTTGTTACAGGGGTTTCATTAGCAGCAGGCAACAGGCGATTTTTACCGTTTGTTTTCACAAAATCGCCTGTTGTTTTTAAGGATTTTTTAACTTTTCCATGTTAAATTTTTGATTCCCATTTATTTTGCCTGTTGTTTTCATTTATTTAGCCTGTTATTCTAGAGAAACCCCTGTGTTATATTGGAAATTGTTAAACCATTATGATTAAACAAGTATAATGAAATTAACTCAATTATGAACATTTGGACATCATCACTAAATCCCTTAACCTCTTGACTACCCAGAGTGACGAGTTGTCTCATCACATTAGAAATTACTTTGAACCCCGACAACATAATCTGTTACAAAATTTTTCACTAAAATTGCTCTGGACAATTTTCATCCAATTTACAAAAAGAAACATCTCAAATATGTAAATTCACTAGGTTGAGCATTGCCTGGTGTATACATGTATGTACTGTATGTAGTAAAATGTCAAAAGCTGGCAAAAATGAAAAATCGTCTGGTTTCAAACCAATTTTAGAGCCTGGGATTCAAGAGGTTAGTTAACTACTTATGTGAACATAAGATTCATGAATTTATAAGATTAATAACTTTCTTCATAAGTCACAATATTTCAAAAATAATCTTGCATATTTTTTGAAGTCATGAAAAGCAATATTTTAATGTTCAAACTTTGCATAGGACCTTAAAGAACATGTACATTGTACTTACTCTGTTACCGCCATTGGCAGTTTCTTTTCTGACGGAGGTGTAAGTTCCTGCGGTTGAGCAAAAGTTTTCTTTAAATGTGGCGGAGTGGATGGCGGAGTTCCCTCATAGATTGGCCTAGATTGTGCTGCCCCCTTTTGGACTTTTTCAAACAGAGGCTGACTAGATTTTTCTGGAAGTTCTTCTTCATCGAAAGGATTTGCAGAAACGCCAATCTTAGAATCATCTTTCGATTGTTTAGAGGATTTATCCTTTGATTTGAACTTCTCAAATGGATTACTACCCTTCATTAACACTGGCAATGTAGCGGACCTAGCTTTATTCTTTTTGGCGTCGATTTTCGAAAAACGCCCTGCAGAGGACGCCGTATTTGATTGTGGGAGAGGGACGTCTTCATCTGAGTGGAGATCATTCTCTAAAGCTTTAAGTTTACTGGTGAGTTCGGACATCTTTGCAGCGTTGTCATCATCCTCGTCATCAAATTCATCCAGGTTGCCAATGTCTGACTGTTTCCCTATGCTCATAAGACTTGCCACAGACTGCATGTCTTCATCACTGTTGGGAGACAAAGTAATATAATACAAGGCATTAACATGCAAAATGTCACCACCAGCTATTTGTTACAGATGCCGACTGCCAAATGTCAAAAACCAACCGCAAAAAAGATGGAGACTATAACATTATATCTGGTGGTAACATAACAAATTTTTAAACTAAAAATTATCTTTTTATAGGCACTTCGAGAAATCATCACCTGCAACTAAAGTTGATTACTGCAAAAAATTATTTCAGGTATTATGTGGCAACAGTTTTTCAAGTAAATGTTTGCTTTAATTACATGCCAAGAAGAAATTCAACATGCCTAGCTGTTAATCCAAATTTACATTTTACATGGCTTCAATCTCTACATTGGTTATGCCTCAGTCACATTTGATCTACTGCCCGTACAGGGGCCATACCTATCCAAAATCGAGATAAATATGCAGCATAAAATGTAGGGATAAGCAGTACCATGTAAATTTTCTTTATCGATTTTGTGAAGTTAAGGCTGCCAATAAAGAGCAAATGTGACTGAATACATCACTTAATACATGGAATACAGAATCTTACGTTGCTTTTCCCTCCTTGATGAACATGCAATGTAGTGTAAGCTCAAGTGTTGCGGACACAACTTTCTTTGACGTGGGTTTCAGGTTTATCTTTACAGGATGCTGAGTTGGAATGGCACTTGCAAAGTCTTTCATGTTAATTGACTTACTGGCAATTACTTTTCTACGTCCTTGTTTGTTTTGCTGGAATATATGAAGAAACAAATATAATTTTTTTGTGATCATATTTATTTCTAAATTGCAATAAAAATGCAAATGCTTGCCAGTTGCCAATATTAGAATTTTGGACTAACCTGAGAAACGTTAATAAGATTCTCATGCATCCTATGTATAGTAAAATCTGTCTTATCTGAATGCCATTGGGACCAGCCAAGTGTTCAGACTAGCAATTCACAATACAAGTTTTTAAATACGTAAGTCAATGGGAGATCGATGAGCAAATTTGGAACAGAGAAAAATTATTCAGATTGAAAGATTTTGTATAAGATAGGTGTTCAGATATACAGGTTTCACTGTATAACAATACATATGTTCATATTGTACTATCATGAGCTTGTGAATTCTACTTTTTGATTCTATTTTACAATCTCATACTTTTTCCAAATGATAAAGAACAGCAATTCACATTGAAAAGTTTATGGAAATATATACTAAAGTGCCAAAAGATAGAGACAACTTAAGGGCATGTCTTTGAAAATTTATAATTTTTATTGCTTAAAGCCCTCTTTGTCATCGTTTTCCTTAAATTCATAAATTTGGTCTTAGTTTCATAAAAATCCTATGATTTGAAATGTAAGTTAGTTGACATCAACTTCAAATGCCAACCACTGAACACCATCCACAAAAAAGTTGGCGGGTGTAACCATATGTCACAACTTGTGGCGGTGACATAAAAATGTCAGCAAATAAGATTTATCATTTAATTTGGAAGTATGTTTTTAAATGTAACCCTTACATCTTCAATGACAAATGTCCATTCTTTGTCTTCATATTCTTCCTCTCGGGGATCTCGAAACAGTGTGACAGTTATTTCAACATTCTCTGGTACTGGCCACATCACTGTACCCTTGTAGGGGTTGGTTATAGTAGGCTCCCATGAGTGGGCCTGGAAGATAAATAAAGATAAATCGTCATGTTTCAGTTACCTTGATTCAAATTCTTATGCAATTTTGAGAATTTATTAAATATTAGAAAATGCACATTTTTCATCAGTTTTGAACATTTAAATTGAAATAGATGAAATAAGAATTTTACATTCATTTCAGAAATGGGGGAATCTAAAAATGTAAAATCGTTGTAACAAAACATACTACATGTATTGATTATTATGTAACACAGTGAATCGTGGTGTTGTAGTATTTAGAGTATTTGGGGTATTTCTGGCTAAAGAGCTTTGATATAATCAGCTCAATGGCTTATATGTGTCAATTACATTTACAAATAAAAATGCATTCATAAAATACATAACCCATGCGATCATAATTTTGAAAATGAGTCGGTTGATGCACCTAATTCTAAAGTCATGAGAAATATCCAGACATGTAATCATAAATACCAATTAAACATCCACCAGACATGAATTTGTGACGCGGAACTTGACTTGGCTCTTTACGTAAACTCAAGAGCATTATTTGGCATCTGTCAAAATAAGTTAACAAAACGAGTCAACTTAAAATTTAACACAAAATCTTAGCTTCAAATGGGTCTGAGTTCTGATTTGTAAATGAAGAGTATAAAACAAATCACTATAAACCATTCACAATTTTGAATTCTTACATCAGTTGCCTTTCTCCTGCTCCTCCTAGTCCATACCACAATCAACTTGTTAGGTTGCCTGAAAATATAGAAAAATATCAATCATCATGTTGAAATCATGTATTCTGGTTGGACAATGTTTGGCAATGTGATAAAAAAGGTTTCACACATATTATTCAAGTAGCACATCCAAGCATTTTATCATAGGCTGGAATGTTGGCTTTGTTTCATTAAGACAAATTCATTCATTTATACATTTTAGGTGGTTTCCCCATTAGCCATTGTGCTGACAGTGTACTACTAAATATAAAGCAATGGTATCCATATACACTTAAACAAACAAGTGAAACATCAACACATTTTTTAAGTCTAATTGAATTATTTTGTAAATACGAATATATTCTCCGACTGTTATATGACTCTCAAAATCCAGATTTATATATCTTGTGATAAACCCTTGAGCTTGCCTTTGAAAGGTAATAAAATATCTTAATTAAAAGTATAACTACCTACATTTATGGTCATCTAATGTAGAAAGCCGATACCCGAACTCAGAAAATCACATTTAATACTGTATATTGTATTGAATATAAAATGTGATCAAACTAAGTTAATATTGTTTTAGTCTGAAACGATTATCAGGATAATGACCCTGCTCTATTAAGATAAGATTCAAATACTATTACAAGTAATATAAAGAAAACATTTAGACAATTTAGAATTTATCCCAAACCATAATTTCTCACAATCTGATTTTGGAATTATAGAGATCCGGACAAATAAACTGAAATCTGATTACGATATATATGGACGCTTCAAACAACAAATACACTTCCACAAATTCTAATACAAGATAATAATCAACTTTACAGGACTTATTAAAATAGTTTTAATTTCATCTTGAAATCAGAGTCAAAATCAATATTTTTTCAACTGATTCAGATACAGTTCTGCGTTTGAATTCTATTTTCGCATTTGAATTCTGTGAAAATTTAAAATTGTCACACTGATAGTTTACATAGGAACAAAGAGAAAATGGGATATTCTTTATACGTTGGGATAATCATTGATGAACCTTACTGATCTGAACTGATCTATCCTATCTAACAGAATCTGAAATCTTAACAACAAAGACTACATATAGTATGATAGCAGTTATATGGGCTAGTTGGAGGGGGATATTGCATAGGGCATAGTACATAAACAGCGGAAAAGTCTTAATTCATGATCAGTAGTATGAATTAACTTCATCTTTTCTGAGCTCAGTATAATGTAGGATATAGCGCAAATATTTTTTAATAATGGTTGCAGACACAAAATAACTTTTTAATAAAAAATTGTAATTATGGTAAATGCATCTTAATCTAAAAATTTCCAAATTCCCATGACATATATTTTCAAGTACATATTACCAAAAACAGACCCAATTAAGCCAAAACAGTCAAAATTTATTATCCGATTAAAAAAGTTAGAAATGAACACAAACTTACACAATCAACAATTAAAGCGGATTAGAAATTGATAAATTCATGATCAGCTTTAGAAAAGAAGATTTATGTTACATCAGCGGGGGTAAATAAATAAGACGCTGAAACTTTAAGAAGATGAAAAGATCATGGATTTCATCTTCTTTAGCTCTTTGTAATGCTCAAGTTAATCTTGTACAATCCGAAAAATATGGACACTATAATAAATCACTCACAATTGCAATCAACTTTACCTGTCTGTCAAATAAATGTGCAACGAAAGGGAAACTTTCCAACAGCCAATAGAATCCATTGTTACATTTGGATATAATCAGTGTCCCCCATTGATTCTCACGTTAAATCCCAACAAGCTTGATTAACTCAGAAATGGAGATAATTTTTTACTAGATTCCTGTGGTTTACCTACATGCTATACCATCTTAATTACATGTATCACTAGCTATGAAAAAATTGTTGAATTCAGAACACATTGGGGCAACCAAAACACAGTGGCCATAATCCAGTTTTATAGATTATTTTGTATTAAATAAATCAATGATTTAAAAAATAAAAACTCTGGTTAAGCTTTGAAATAAGCAGCTTAGGACTGAATACACCTTTTTGAGATCTGTCATTCAAAATGATTGACATGCAGTAATTATATAAGTGAATACCATTCTCAGGCCAGGCTGGAAATACATATTTAACCACTTGCCATATTACATTTTGACTTTCACAAATATTCTGTTTCACACAGAATGCCACCAGGGAACACAACTTATATTGAAAAAGATCCTCCAAAAAAAATATTCACCAAGTCATCCCTTACCTGTTTTAAAATTGTACTCTCCATATTTTATTCTTAGACTTTGAAAATATTTTTCAATTGATTTCAATGTCTAATCATTATAAATAATAAAAATTTCATAAAAATATATACATACGGGTATGTGGTTATATATATTATATGTAAAAGGAACACAACTACGATCATTCAGTATCATGTTGTATATAAGGCCTATTTCCTTGTCAGGAATTGAATATAGATTTTATACTTTGGTCAATATGATATTTCCAGAGGATCGAAAGGGTATGAGGGAAATTGGTCATATTGGTCCTCAGTATAGATCCCATATTCAATCTGTTTCCAAATGGTCCTTTTTCCATATAGCTTTGAATAAGATTTTAGGAGATCTGCATTTTTAACCATTTTAGACTAAACTTTTACTTCTATTTGATGGCATATTTGAATTCTGCATGTAATTTTCTTTCAAAACAACTTTAAGTTACATCGTTATTTACCTTTATTCACATTCTAATGATTTTCTAGTTGTCTTAAAAAGGTCGGGCTAAATCCCCATTGACATAATGCTGAAAAACCTTTAACAGTTCATTTACTCTTACAAGGATCACAATTTTAATGTGAAATCACAATTCACATGTCAATAAGATCATATAGTCACATTCCATTGATGTTTTTAGTTGATCCAAATGGGAATTAAGTGACTCTGGCAATACAGTTACATGTATTCTAGCCCTACCTTAGCCCTACCAATACCCATGGTGGCATCTATTTTCCATTTATATGGAAAAACTGTCAATTACACACAGTAGATTGAAAAGTTACAGATAATTGGCCAATTTCATCAAAACATCTGCAATCCAATTACACATTCAGTAGGGCTAAGAAATTGAAATAAAACCCATATTCAATATTCCAAACACAGGAAAAAGTCTTTTATATAATATACTTTGGTTGAACTGAGGGAGCAATCATATTTTTGGAATGAAATAATATATTTCTTAGATTTGGGGGAACAACTGGGGAAATGTTTAGTGAGTTAAATAATGTGGCTTTTGTTTTTATATCATAGAACTGCATTATTGATATTTATTTTCTATATGTTTATTCTGGCTTTTGCTCTTTGTTGCTTCATAATAAAGTCTTTACCATTTCTTAGTAGCCTCAACCATCAGTTCTTGGTAGGACGCTGTGAACTGGAACTTTGTCGCACGTTTGCCGACCCTCTGTAGTCGCTTCCACACTCCCATAATGCACCTCTTTTACTGGATCCCTCAGCACATTTGACCTGAAATTTAATGAAAGATTATGATTTGTGACTGCACATATGCAGGGGCATAGCCAGCTTTCAGTCAGGGGGGTGCGATTTTGGCATAAACAAGAGATAGAAGATACAAATAAAAATATTCTAAAGCACTTTTCTTCTTCTATCTCATGATTTTATTTTAATTGGTTATGGGGGGGGGGGGGCGATCGCACCAATTGCACCCCCTGGCTACACCTAGTCACCTATGCATATCCACCTTATCAATCATTATTGTGGAGGAAAAAAACCTCCGAGGTGAGTTATTTTATCACATAATTAGTAAAACATTTTTTTTACAACTGATGGTACATTGTATAAAGTTATTATCAGATTCCACAATATTTTTCTAAAATATGAAGGTATATTTGAACACAGCTGCCCTCTATTTTAGTTCAGCAAAGAATCCCCTTGTTTTCAAAAGAGAAGAAAAATGTCGCCATCTAAAATGATTTTGAAAAATGATTCACAATGATAATATAATTGATTGGCTCATCCTAATATTTGATCCACCTATTCAATTGTCTTCTTATGAATGGGAAAGGGTTTTCATTTCCCAATTTTTAAATTCTCAGACATGGCAATAGGGATGTTAGTGTTTTTCACATTCAACAGATAAAAAATAAGGCTTTAAAAATAGGGCTTTGGTAATAAACTGTGATTCTGCTGCCCTCCATCTTATCTAATATGGCTGTTTTACTGATCACAGTGTAACTACAGGCCTGTCAACTGTCTCGCAATTTGCGTATTTGTCAAGCATTTGCTGAAGAAATTAAAGTCACTCAAGTTTTTGAAAATACACATTTTTTCTGATTATTGTCAAGCAAAAATATTTCTGGAGTAGTACATCAAAAAACCGAACACCAAAACATAAAAAATGACGGAAAATGAACAGAGTTTGTTTGGAATTTTCACCTGAATTGCGTATGTATATATGACAGGCCTGTAACCATTGCTTATCTACATGGTGTCCCGAAAGTATGGACCCCCCCTAAGCAGACATATACCAGTGTCGTCACAGTATGTGTCATATATCATTTTAAAGCTTATCCACAGTTACATTCATTCGCCAAGTATCATGGTTCAACTCTCAAATGTGAAAAAATTACAGGCATTTTAAAATTTAGTGTTTGGTCAAAATTCAGTTCAATTTTACACCAAATCAATAGTCAATGTGTTCTCCCGGACCATAGTAAAAGCAGCAATTTTTTTCTGGTCGGAGGGATATTGAGTTGGAAAAAGAGAACGGTGAGGGTAGAAACTCTAAGGAAACTCTTCTAAAGTCCCTTAACAGGTTTTAAGAGGGTTATAAAATTCCACACCCCTATTTAAAGGGTTTTTAACCTTTAGCGTGCTGCCGGCGAACGCGTCCGCCGAGACTAAAATGTCTCTCACAACTGCCGGCGGACCCGTACGCCCAATTTCAAACTTTTAAAAACTTTACTTTTTCGCGCCATTCGTATTGTCCAACTAGATTGCCCGATTTATTCAGTGCCTAACATGACTTCCTGTTGACCTAAAAATGGCGATATTTCGAAAAATAATTCTCAATTCAACAATTTAAACAGTGTTTTAGTCGTTTTAAGTGAACAAATCGTACAAAATGGCGGACAAATACGATCACAACGAAAATGTGGAGGAAATGGACTACGATTTTGAGCTCTTTAGGCTCTTGGAAGCCGATAATGGTCATCGAAAATAGAAACTAGAATATTTTCTGAATTGAAAAATTAAACATTCGATCGCTGCAAATTCAGATTTGAATTCTGACCAGACGAAGGGGCGGAGCGGCGGATTTCGAAGGAGTATTCATGGTACAGGGTGACCGGAAAAAAAGGAGACCATTGAAGTAATCAATTTCTCCTAAACTAGACAAGTGACATCAATGAAATGTTGCATACACTGGAACAGTTATATGGAAATTTGTTACTGAAGGTTTCAATACAAGCATTCAACTGGTTCAGGAGCTATGATCATTTACATAACATGCTCCAAATAGGCACAATTGAGACCAACGCAGAGTTGGATTCATATGGCAAACTACCCTTACATGTTCTGCCCTCTATGGCATTATTATGGCATTACATATAGCAGTAATTGCCTTCTTTAGGTCAACAATAGTCTGAGGATTGTTTTGGTATAGATTATCTTTCAAATATCCATACAAAAAGAAATCAGCAGGATTCAAGTCTAGGCTGTATGGCAATGAAGGGTTATCTGACATGTGGTTCATCATCCTGTTGCCAAAGTGCTGATTTACCCAATCTTAAGAGTCTCTTTAGGTATTGGGCATAGTGCCATGTTACTAAAACCACTATATGGCACAATTAAATCCCATATGGAAACCAAGGGCTGCCCAAAACCTCCTTAGGATGATACTGTAACTGAGTGGGACCACTGAGTCAGAAGCCATAGGTCAGATAAGCTTCGTCTCCATACACCTCAAACTTGAATCCACCTGATTTCTTTTTGTGGGGCAATTTGAAAGACAATGTGTACCAAAACAATCCTGAGACAATTGCTGACCTAAAGAAGGCAATAAATGCTAAATGTAATGCCATAACAAGGTCTGAATATGTAAGGGTATTTGCCATATGTATCCAGTTCTGCGTTGGTCTCAATTGCGCCTATTTGGAGCATGTTATGTAAATGATCATAGCTCCTGAACCAGTTGACTGGTTGTATTGACACTTTCCATAGGACTGTCATGATGTATGCAAAATTTCATTGATGTCACTAGTCTAGTTTAGGAGATATTGCCTATTTCAGTGGTCTCCTTTTTTTCCGGTCACCCTGTATATTTATGCCCAGTCGAATTGTACGAAAAATATTCATAAGAACATTTTTTTCATGAGCCAGGCCACTGTATCTTCCCTTTGTGAAAATTTTATCCAGATTCATTCAGTAGTTATTGAGATATTAATTATTTAGTCCAGGCATATCATTTTTTGCACTCTTTGAAAAATAAGCCAGATGCGTGGGATATATTTGCTGAAATAAGGCAGCATGGTAAAGGTTAAGGTCATATCTGATAATTGCTGCAATAAACATGGCAAAGGGGGGACTCATTGACTAGTAATGTGGTGTGAAATTGAACTTTATTTTGACAGAACATTAACTTTTAAAATGACTGTAACTTTTTTCCCATTTGAGAGTTAAACCATGATACTTGGCAAATCAATGTAACTTTGGATAAGCTTTAAAATGATATATGACACATACTATGAGGACACTGTAATATGTCTGCCTAGGGGGGGGCATACTTTCGGGACACCCTGTATTTGAACAAACTTCAATGTATTTCTCTTCCAGGTATTTACCAAATGGAATACAGTATTACTTGCACACAATCAAATTATATCAATTTTATATTGATGTTTTTGAAATATCTCAGAAGGTGAAGATTTAGAAAAGAATATTGATACACTCCATGATTATCAAACATTTCAATTAACGTCTTCAGACGCATGAGGGACTGTAATAATGGAAAAGTAAACACCTCTTTCTTTAGAGTTCCTTTAGTATTTCTGAGAGCACGAATGCAGCAGATTTTGAGATTAAAGCACTATTAGGGTATGTGGTAATTAGGAAGGAAAAAACACAGATTCATTCAACCATGGGCTTCAGGGGCATAGCCAGTAAATATCAAGGGGGTGCCTCGTGCGATTCTTTGGGTTTGCATCACTGTGAGCAAAGTGAGGAGGGTAATTTACATTATAGATGGTGGATTCTAAGCACCCATCTAAGCGATCTCACCCATCACACCCCCTCCCCCCAGCTATGCCCATGGGCTTTCTCTTGAAACTATCTCAACTATCGTAGACTTATCTAGTTCCAATCCCATTCTGGTCTTGGGAGCGTTCAATAGAAGCTTAAACGTTTCGATTTAGGCTGGTGTTTAGAATTGCAAGAAAAGTGTCCTTTGCTAGATTTTTTACTTTTGAAATTTGACATGCACTTTTATGGAATGCTCCCAGGAAAAGAATTGGATTGGAACCTGGGGATTGGAACGAGCTAAAGCCTTCTACAAGGTTAGATAGACCATGGATAGACATAGACATCAGAAGTAGAGTGAAAGAGTGTTATTCAACTAAAATATAATTGCACTGTGTGGGTATGATGATTCGAACAAACTCTGGAATCATCTCAAGCTAAAATGTATATAAATAAAGAAAAATGCAGCAGTGAAAGTGAAACAGAAAATTAATCATCAGATGATGATCATGAAAAATAATCTGAGAGTAAACACCTTTTTTACAGCCCCAGTGGTGAAGTTCTATAAGTTTTACTACATGCAATACCACAAAGAACAGTTTATCAATATATTTCATGTACTTACTTGCCACAAAACCTTTATAAACAGCTATGAAATACTAAAATTCAATTATATTTGGAATATTTTGATTTTTCTGACAGTACCATTTTGTTTAAGTCACGTGACGCAACTAGTCTCGAAATTTATTTTAATTTTCCTTCAAATACTATTTAGTTGATAAATATTTGGCTACAATTATACAATAAAGGATCATAAAGTGAAATAAAGATTTGTTTTCAAGAATTTGATAAACACATTCTTCTCATTTATTACTAAACTTGCTTATTTCATTTTATTTAATTGATTTTACCCTAATTTTTAGTCCGTTATTTGTTCAGTGTCAGAAAATGGACATTTGCATCGATTCAGACGATTTATATAGCATTTCAAATGAACCCAGTCAATATCCATGTCTAACTGATATTAAGGATCACAATAAAATAGTTGTCTTATTTTGTCTTGGTACAAGATAAGTGCAAAAGAAAGTCTGCTCCCGGACGTATATTCCGAGGTGAAGCAGACGAGGAGAAGACAAATATTTTCAAAATTGTCTTCCGAGATGTCTTCTGCGCGGAGACGTCAGCGATCAAAACCGTCTGGTAAGTATGCTAAAGTTAAGATAATCTACCTATCTTTCGCCAAGGTTAGAATTGAAAACTTATCAAATCTAAAAGATTGATGAAATTGAGTCGCAAAGTTTATCGACTGCTATGAAAAACATTCTGCTACAATGTCGCCATATTGTTTTGGAAAATGACAACAATGTTGCAAGTTGTGATTTACATCAAAAGACACCGGCATCGGATTCTGTGGATGAGCATTTCCACACTTCGTTACACAAATAATTCAAAAATGATGATTTAGCCATAATTTATGAGTGATTTATTGTATATTTTAGAGTATTATTTTTGAATATTTTATCAGCCATCTTGAAATTGATGTCTGCTTGTGCAGACTATACATTCACTAAAATTATCAATTTATATCTGACATGTAATTTCTATCTGTTGATACCTTACATTTCAAAAACTCCCACCCCAAGACAGTAATAAGTCCCAAACTGCAATAATGCCTAAAATGATTTTTATGAATTTACGATTATCCGGGAAAATCTCATGCTTACATGTACGATTGTCACTGTTAGTAGGTTTTCAAATTTCTATCTGCCTTGTCGGGTTTTTCAATACGTAATCCCATGTTCAAACTATGTCCTGTTTATAATTATATATTTTTTTGTTCCTTCAGCCTCAGCCAGTTCTTCGTCAGATGTGGACAATGCTATTCTTGAAGCTTTACGACGTCCACCAATCAACCAAATGACTTACAATAAACAAGGGGGTCAAGATATAGATGATGCAAATGTACAAAGTGGAAGAGATTCACCTTTTATGATGTTTGACGCCCTTTCCCAGGTGGCATCTATGGCATTTGAGGCTGAGGAAGAGGAAAAAGAAAAGAAACCAATTCCAAAGAAGGTGAAACCATTACTCTACTTAATGTTGAGACTATCTATATTACTCAATTTTTACTGTACTTCTTCATACAGATAAAACTCAAAACATTGAAAAAATTACCAACCCTTCTGTAAGCCATCTTGTTCTGGAGACTCCCTCCTTCAGAAGTTGTTTTTATAGAGCAGGACCAGAATGGGTACTGTTTTTGTTCCATAGCTTAACGATAGTGAGATGGATACAGATATCTCCATCCTGCTCCTTGGATACAGTATACATTCCTGCATGTTATGTACCTAGAGCAGGGATACATTGGGTATATGGTATTATTATCATTAATGTTCTTTGTTATAGATTACTCAAAGAAGTGTCCAATCATTAAGTGTGTTAAACCTGGATCAGATCCGACAACTTTCTGAGAAAACTCTAATCAACATGTTCTCTGAGATGACTGGTGATGAGATAAAGAAGAACTATACATATACTTGTATTTTGATGCCCTCTAGATGTTGCGCTAGTATAACAAGTTTTGGGAATGAGAGCAAGGCAAGGTTTCAGATGAAGGACCACCTACAGGAACATATTGTTAATCTTATCAAGGAGTCTGAAGGTACAGTGTGTGCAGGCCGGTAGCCAGGAGGGGTTCAATGGGTTCAGGCGAACCCCCCTGGCCAAAAATTCTTTCAAGATCATGCAGTTTTTCACCATGCTAAGCACTTTTTAAGTGATTTTGGCCATTTTTGGACCAAAATTGTCAAAAGTGAACCCCCCTAGAATTTTTCAAAAAGTGAACCCCCTTGGCAAATCCTGGCTGCGGGCCTGGTGTGTAATATTAGAGCAAACAGATGTAAAACATTGTTGAAATTGTATAAATGCCAAGTATTATGCCACCTTGTGAAAAGTGTGAACTTATACTCTGAAATTTTGACTGAACAGAGTTCACTTTAGAATCAAAAACTGATGTGTTCATTGTATCCAGGAACATGTTTTTTAATACAATTTTAAGACCTGAAAAAAGTAAATCTTGATTTGACATTGATTCCTAAAACTTTTTTTTTTTATTTATGCCCTCAATGAAGTCACATCTCCATCTCTTGTATTTTTCTAGTTGAACCAGGGACCTCTTGTTTGAGGTTATTTGCTAAATGCAAGAATGCAATATCAGAGGTGGCGTTAACGCAATTTTTTACGTTTTTTACTCACATTTTTGCAACTCTGACGCAAATATTCATTGTCTACCGAGTCTTTCTGACGCACGTTTGTTTCACATGCAAAATCCCCGCTTGGTACTTGGTTAAATTGATCCCTATACGTGAAAATACGTGATTGATCAAATTTATAATTTTGCTAATTCCGGAAATCTAACATTTCGTTCAGCGCAATCGAGCCTCCTTCCTACCGATCATTTTCTTATTTCGGTATTTCATATAATTTTTAAAGCCCTGTGATTCAGATTCAATGATAAACTTGAAAACATTGATCGATCCCTCGATTTGTTTATCTCTTGTGCTAGGGGGCGTATCAAAAATGCAATAAAACGAACATAACTTTGAACAATAATTTATTAATTTCATACTCCCTTCTAAGGATTTTAGTGATCGTATATTTATCTAAATTACCGCATAAAATCTTTCCTTGAATGTTCACACGCTAGATTTACGAACCTTTAGTTTCCTTCGCAAGTTCGCAAAATTCCTTCGCTAAGTTAGCAAGTTTCCTTGAGCCGTCCCCTTCATCAGCATGCGCAGATGTAATGCGCAGTAGGTTTATCAATGGTGCTCACAGTGACCGATTTATCGTAAGTTTTCACCAAGTATTTTCAATTAACTCCCTCAAGTTAAGATCTTCGATTCACTAGATCTGAAGCTGATCCTATGAAGATAGATAATGGGCACATGAAAATCCAGTCGATCGCACATTAAGGGGGGTAATGATGATAAATTAGGTATGAAAACAAATCTACTTTCGGTTTCATTTTATAATTACAAGATTCTACCGTATTCAATTTAAATGATGCCCAGTATTGTGGTCGGACTTATATTGCCGTTTTAGACTTTGGAATGATTGCAAAAATGTTGAATTTCAACATGAAACGCTTTGACCCCAATTTGTGTAACTCCACACAGGGAGAAACTCCTCTCCCACTCCATTCACACCCATGACTCGCTGGACCAGATAATCAGATGATTAATAGTGACATTTTTCTTGCAATTGCCTAATTAATTAATTGTTAGTTGTTAATGTGCTATAAGAGTACAATAAAAGGTATGCACAAAATCAAAAAATAGATTTTGTATGTGGTTTCTACATTTTGTATGCATTTTTACTCAAGAAAAACACCTTTATAGCTTTGACTCAACTTTTTTTCTTGTGACTCACTTTTTTGAAACTACCTGAGTCATGATGACTCACAAAAATATATGCCTACCGCCACCGCTGAATATTGATCAATGGCGTAGCGTCATATACGCATAAAACGCCATGGCGTACTCTCAAAATTTAGAAAACAGTTGATTTTTTATATTGATTTACCCCACACTTCAAAAATGGCTAATAATTTATATTCTATTCGTCCATAATAGTCGGAATTTCGTATTTCAAACCCCCCAGAACGCTTCAAATGCTATCTCATTTTCCTTTTCACTTTCTTTTTTTTCTTGGGGGGACCTCCCCCGAACCCCCCTCAAAGCACGTCTATTTCGCTTACTCGCGGCTTACACTCACAAAATACCCACGCTACGCCACTGTTGATACAGGGTATCCTATCAGTTACAATTAAACCTGCTTTGGTGCCGACCTGTTCTCAGTGATCAGCATTAAGCTATGTTCATAAAAAGTGTGTAGTGAACGCCTACTAATTTTTTGCAGATCCAAAGGTTTTCAATATCCACATAGATTTTACCACACCATACTCTAATTTATACATTAATGAACTGTGTTTGTAGCACCTGGAGGGGGAAGAATCAAGTTTACATCGGAACCACTCCATGCCAGGAAAAGACGACTATCAGGTAGAGTCTTAATTCTTTAATATTCATTTAATTGAACAACACATATTCTTAATAGAAATGGAAATTATTTAAAAACCTCTTCATGCAGTTAGTGATATTTTAAAGTCACAAAATGTACAAGAAATTCCCATCACATGTGGTTCTAATCCTATTAGTGTGTTTTAACTAGATAAAAGAGAGACATTAGATAATGTATAGGTAAAATATTTTAACTGATTCAGAGATGCGCGTACCTATTAGACTTTGGGGTCGGCCAAGTGGTGTAGAGCACTGAACACACCTAGCTAGACGCTGTCACCGTGATCATGATGTCATGAGTTTGAGATCTGTGAGCTCCTTGCGTTTATTCAATTAATTATTTATAGCCAGTTTAAACTGTTACTGTTACAGGCAAAAAGCCTATCATTACCAGAAATCGTAACAAGGAGAAGGAGTCACCACAACAGCAACCACAACTCAAACCAAAGAAGATGAAAAGGTTGAGGGAAAAAAAGCCCATTAAGAAAGACACTGATGCTGATTCAGAAGATTCCTCAATGTTTACTCTCCTAAAGAACAAACCAAATGACTCAACTGATGAGATCGAAGCAGGGTTTGGGAGTCTATCTGAAACTGATAAACGTATAGCAGAGAATGAACAGTTTATAACAGATTTACTTAACAGAAATCAGCCTCATCATGATCATTGTTATACAACCATATTTGGTAAGAGGCGGGGCATAGAATGGATGCATTATGAGCTGGACTCTGACTCCGCCCCTGAAGATGAGGAGTATTTACAATCACGTACAAATGCTAAGATAAATAATCCCCGTGAAATCACTACTTTGGCTCCTACTGGACAGTTTAAACTTCCATCAAAGTTGAAGGTTATGGGGCCAATTTTAGCTGGTAAACAGAACACGTCGGGACCTGGAGAAAGAAACCCTGTGTTGAGGATGACTAGGATTCCTGTCACTCCAGATGGCACGCCCATATTTAGTAACGAAGAAGTCGTTCAAGCAGAGAAAACTCTCCCTGACAGTGACACAACAGGAGAAAGTAAGTACCATTCACCAAAAATTATCAACTATTCCCAATTCAATTAAATATAAGACAGTGACTGAATGCTGTTTCAAAAATTTATGATCAGAATTAAATTGCATTTAAAATACTTGCATTAAATGCCTCTATACCTAAAATCTTATCACAGCCCCAACTGATTCTAAATTCATTCACTTTTTCTGTACACTATTTTATGCTTTGAACTGAAAAAATGTAACTGTCCGAACTGTTAACTATAATTATTTATTTATATTTTCCTCCAGGGCCATATCCTCCCATGCCCAAATTTGAGCTGGCTAAGAAAGGTCGCATGGATTGTCTAGAAGAGGACCTAGCTATACAAGACCTCTCATCAGATGAGAGCTTAAACGATGAACAAATGAAGAAACGACGAAAGAAAAACCCTGTCATCGGGACTGCAGAGTGGGAGCGTAGACTTGCATTGAAGTGCATAAGAGAGCTGAGATTAAAGAAGAGAGATGATACCACAAGGGCGATACTGGAGTGTAAGATCTGTAGAGATAAGACATTCACTGCCACAGCAACACTGATGTACCATTATAGGAGTCATGCAGGTAAGATGGGTTTGAGTAGTCTAGCTTACACAACTTCATGTAAACACAAATCACCCAGTCAGTTGTGTAATGTGGAGAGTTATTATGAAGTAAAAGCAATGCCATATACACCCTGTACTTACATTTATATTCATTTTGAGGTACCTATTATGTATCTCATATGATACAAGTATGAAAAAAGGAAAAACAGGTCATATAACATATTGGTCATTGGAGTAAATCAGAATGATTTAAGTAAACAGGTGCTGCAACTAAAAGTACATTATTATGTATGATACCTTATTTAGTGTACCGCAAGACGAATTTAGTTTAAATTTGTATCATCTTGTATTAAGCCCTATTTTGCCCTGTTTTGCCCATATAAGATAGTGACAAAAAATTGATGAAATCCTACAACTTGCATTTCAGTTTGCATTACAGCTATTGCTATTACATTAAATTAATTACATTAAAAGTGACATCTGCTGGTGTCAGTGGCTTGATTCTTAGACTTATTTGTTTGCATAACATGTATACTTTTTCATTTGTTTATTCATGTCAGGTATCAAGCCATTCATGTGTCTGATCTGTGGGACAACATTCACCCGACAACACAGTCTCAACTACCACATGTTAATACACAACAACCAGAGCAGATTCACATGTAAAGAGTGTGGACGCAAGTTTAGGCATCCAAGCCACTTTAAGGTAATTACCAAATACTAAATCAGCTGTTATAAGAGACTATAAGGGATAGAGACAAATTATCAGAAATATTTCACTTTTGCTATGATTGTATCATCCCATTTCATCTGATCTCTCGGAATAATCCTGTGCAGTGGTTTTTACAGTTTATTTTAATAATATTTTATTTCTGTCACAGGTTTACTAAAAAATATTACAAGTAAAATACTTATATTAAAAACCCTACAGTCATCATCTAAAAGTATAAATTCTCATGAATTGATTTGAAACACAATTGTAAAAATTTATTTTTTTCTTGTTGCCCATTGTGTAAAGTGGTTTCATTTTATATATAATTGTTTCATGAACCAGAGCATTGATATAATATTAAGCAATTTTAACATGCTACAGCTAAATTAATCTACATCAACATTGCAACATTTAATTGTAAAACAACACTTGACAATATTGTCTTATTCATTATAAGTGGTGTAGAATTGAGAAATAAAAATATCTTACTGAAAACGAAGCTCGGAAGTTCTTCCATCTTGTTATGCTGAGTACCAGTGATTATATAACATTATTTTTATTCCATGATATCATTGATTCAATTTGCAGGAACACCTGAGAAGACACACTGGTGAGACACCCTTTGAATGCACAGACTGTCCCTTCAAGTTCAAGACACGGAACACTTACAAACGTCATCTTAAAACTAGACATGGCAAACTACTCACAGCCAATGGAATCTCAGAAATGCCCGCTGATGAATTTGCAAGAGTGAAAACTAAGCCATATCGCTACCGTCAAAACAACTATGTTGACGTGTTTCCCAATATGAATGACGTTAAATACAATGAAAAAAGTGAACATATGACCCAGCGGGAGGACAAAGCAGAGGTGGTATTAAATACTACCCAAAATCCTTCATTTCCTGAAATTGCTAGTACAAGTAAACCACAAACTTATGACAGTGTGGTTTCTATAAGGGATGCTTTGGGACCCCCAATAAGTCCATAAAGACCCACTCTTGTGTGATCCTGAACATGTACATTGACTGATGGAGGGTTTGGATGCCCATAATTTTGAAATGTGATCCTGCTCCCTGCTAGAGGCCTTCAATCAATCCATTTTGTATATTAGATAATTAAGGAAGGAATATCCATATTGATTGAAAAAGAGCTTAAATTCTAAGATGAAGAAATTGTGAAACTTTTGTCATAGGCTGATATGGCTGGGTCGTATATTATGTACATTGACTTACTATACACTCAGAGGTTTATGGTATTTTTGAAGAAGGAAAAACTTGGTGAAGACAAAAAGAAAAATCATTGGAAATCATAACAATGAAAGCAAACAGTCATACAATTTCTAAAAATGGGTTATTTTGGTATTAACAGCCTCAGAAAATTTCCTGATGCTAATGAAACCCTTGTGTACTTCTGATACTCATGTTTATCTTGTTTTACACCATGTATTTAAAATATCTATGTTTACATTGTATTGTACATACTCTCATTCCTATAATCATAAAGAGTAATTGTAGTATGAATTGTTTATTTTTACAAACGTAGCACCCAGCTAGGTAGCCTGCTCTATATATAGGGTATGTAAAAATTAGCATAGCTGGTCTATATTCACAGAACTACAGAGTGGGCAAAGAAAGTTGCTTTATATATACTTTACTGTTCATCTAAATAAAGAAACAAGCGCCAATACTAGTACATGTACATTTACATATTATGGCCACCCTGTACAAAAGTATCATATTACCTTAGAAGTCCATATGCTTCATGGTATTGTATCGTGAGAACTCATTTATGGTATATGGTATAAAATGGTTATATACCCTTTATGGTACATGGTATAATGTGGTAAGATGCCCTTTATGGTATATCGTGGTGGGATGCCCTTTTATGATATGACCTGGTTAGATGCCCTTTTAAGCTATGATATGGTTAGATACCCTTTATGGTACATGGTATAATGTGGTAAGATGCCCTTTATGGTATATCATGGTGGGATCCCCTTTTATGGTATGAGCTGGTTAGATGCCCTTTTAAGCTATGATATGGTTAGATACCCTTTATGGTACATGGTATAATGTGGTAAGATGCCCTTTATGGTATATCATGGTGGGATCCCCTTTTATGGTATGAGCTGGTTAGATGCCCTTTTAAGCTATGATATGGTTAGATACCCTTTATGTTACATGGTATAATGTGGTAAAATGCCCTTTATGGTATATCATGGTGGGATGCCCTTTTATGGTATGACCTGGTTAGATGCCCTTTTAAGCTATAATATGGTTAGATACCCTTTATGGTACATGGTATAATGTGGTAAGATGCCCTTTATGGTATATCATGGTGGGATACCCTTTTATGGTATGACCTGGTTAGATGCCCTTTAAAGCTATGATATGGTTAAATACCCTTTATGGTAAAACATCATATAACATGATATGGTATGATCAGAATCTTATAATATGTGGTAAGAAACTATTTATGGTATGCTATGGGTAGATCCCTGTTTATTGTATACTGTGGCTAGAAACCCATTGTGGTATGCTCTGATTAGAACACTTTTATTGTACACTATATTATGAGTAGAATAGTAGAATGATATGTTGTAAAGAACTCTATTTTTAAAGTACATTCTAAATGTATATAAACAAATATTTTTATATGAAACAGTTGTAAATCGGTATAAAGAGTTCTTGAAGAATGATCTTCATAGAATTAAAGTTAATGCAGTAATGAGTGTTGATAATGTCACCACCACAAGTGTTGATTATGTCACCACCACAAGTGTTGATTATGTCACCACCACAAGTGTTGATTATGTCACCACCACAAGTGTTGACATATTGTTGGAGTCTTCAACTTTTTTGTGGATGTTGTTAAGTGGTTGCTGTCTTTGGTGATTGCTAAGTGGTTGGTGCTTGGCAGCCAGTGTCTGTAACAAATGACAAGTGGTGACTGACTCAAAGACTCATGACACCATTTTCACCATCAACAACTTTTATTGTTATTGTATCAATAGGAGGTATGAGTTTATGAGAAAGTGGTTTAGAATTCTAAGCTTTCATATCCTACTTCATATAGTAATTAGTTAGTGGGTCTATATAAATATGGCAGTGTAGTATGTGGTTTGTCTGAATATATTTGCCTACAACTACATTGCAATCCTTCCATTAACCCACTACTGATCCATAATTTTTTGTCCTTCTTAAACAGCTACTGCAAAACACTACCAAGTTCAATTTTAACTGATTGGTGAATATCCTTTTTGTACATGTATGTTAAACAAGACAACTTTTAAAAAATAAAAAATAAAAATTGGCTTGATGGAGGATGGGTCTTAAATTTGGGATGTGAATGTGAAATGGAGATTTTATTCTTGGTTCAAAATATGATATTATTTTTATGCCATCACCAGAAGAGATGACATATTGTTATAGTCTCCAACTTTTTTGTAGATGGTGTTTTGCCAGTTCGTGTTCAGCCTCCATTGGCTGACATCTGTAGCAAATGGCAGGTAGTGATAGTTTGCATGTTAACGCCTTGTTAAAACTTTGAATTTGATTGACATATTCTCTTGAGAATTCCAATATATATCTGGATATTTCATCTTCGACTCGGCCCGTTTCTTTCAAGCACACTATACACATAACATTCAACATTAATTTTAAAGTACATAAATGTACAATAAACAAAACGATGTCAAGTTGAGTGTTGAAATGTTATTAAACAATTAAATACAGATTTTGTTCATATTTGAGTTACACATGATGATATACGGTATTTAACTTTCAAATCAACTATTATAATATCTGTATTTTATCAGTCATATGATACAATTACTTGAATATTGTGCCGTATACAATTATAAAATGTCATTGTGTCTATGTACATGAAATATATATATATATATTGTAAATTAAAATTCATTGTGTTGATATATTATTATATTATTATAATGAAAGCCGACTGTATAGTATATTATATTATTACGGACAAGTGACAACTGATTTAATAATATGTAACTTGTTTACAATCAGCTTTCATTTTGTGTGCAATATACCTATATTTATATACATACACCTTGTATTATACCACCGAACGAAGTAGAGAACCCGTCCGTCCGTTCGCCCGTCCATGTGTCCTGATGAAATCTCAAAAACCGTCGACGGATTTGATTCAAATTCTATTCACTAATGCATTATGGGCGTAGGACCTCTGCTCGAGAAAGAATTATAAATATGATCGCTCAATTCAAAATGGCTGCCAATTTTCCTAAAAACGCTATCTGATAACTGTAATACTACTTGATGGATTTGGTCAAATTTTCATATGCTGATGCCTAGGGACAAAGGGCATTGCTCAAGATAAGATTTTCAAGACGGCAGCAGAATTTCAAAGTAGCCGCCACTTTTCATAAAAACACGTCATCTTTGATAACTCAAATACCAGTGGACGAATACGGATATGTTGATGCCTAGCGACACATAAGCTCTGCTCAAGAAGGAATTTTCAAGATGGCTGCTACTTTTTGTTAAAAACGTAATCTTTGATAACTCAATACCAGTGGATAGATTTGGTTCAAATTTTATTAGCTGATGCATTAAGACATCGCTCTGCTCGAGAAGAAAATTTCAAGATGGCAGTTGAATTTCAAAATGGCCGCCATTTTTCGAAAAATATCGTTGATAGCTCAAATACAAGTGCAGTGGGTGGATTTGTTTCAAATTGTATATGCTGATACCTGGGGACAAAGGAGATTTGTTCAAGAGAAAATTTTCAAGATGGACACTATTTATCGAAATATGTTTTGTTCGGTGGGATTTGCTACTCCGTGGAGATGATGTGCTTGAGTTTTCCCATCTATTATCGCAGCTTAATTTTTGATTATAAGTTCACTCGACCTTTGTATTTTCTAGTTCTCATTCTTGTTCTTGTTGAAGAGTTAATCCAACGGTGCTTCTGAAAACTTATTCCCCGAGAAACTTTTTTCATATTTTCTTCAAGGGTGCAATTTTGTTCGTCTCATCTTTCCAACGTATACAGCAATATTCCGTCTGGACCGGACGCGTCATTCACTATGTTCCTGGAATCAACCATTTACGTACCATACATTATATATGTTTTTTAGTTCGTTTAATTATAGAGTATATTATTTGGTTTCTTGAAAAAAATCAAGTTCCATCGTGATAAATATACACTAGTATGCATTTACAATAATGAATTTAAATTAGCAATCTAAAAGTCTAAAATGAGCTATTATAGCTAGAATAAATGCGTTGACATCAATTTTACTAGAGACTTATTATGCAATATAATGAACTTTTGTAAAATAGTCATCAATTATGTATGTTATACTTAATATTGGCAAGTGCCACTAAATACCTTGTGGGACCCACAGCCTTTATTAGTATTCCTTGGAATACACTGCATGAGATAATGAAGGACTAAACTAAATATTGATTGGGTTACTGATCTAAAGTAGCACTCAATTAGTAAAACGATAACTATATACTTCCGGTTTTATCTAATGGGTGCCTGCCTGACATGGCAAACGTTTGATTTTCTGGCGTCATACCCCTGCCCCCCCCCCCCCCCCCATTCGCTCCGTCTCTCTTACCCGCTTAATCTGGACATCCAAGAACATCAAACGTCATACAACAAGCGCCTTGCCAAGTCTGGGGAATGATCCGAACAAATCTTGCTAGCACTGGTGGTTCAATCAGGTTTATTGCATGAGTGTATCGGTCCTTATTCCCTGGTAGAATCTTGGAAAATAACATTGTAACTGGTAACGTAAAATAAAAGAGGATAGTAAATAAAATAGTAATATATGGTATAGCTTTGATGGGATTTTACATGGTGGGTCAATAAAGAGTATATTTTTATACATTGGCTATCTTCAGAGTACTAGCAGATATGCATTCATGAATGGTACACTGTACTGGTGAATCAAGAATCCAACAAGGGGGGGGGGGGCTATATTTCAAATCGGAATAGATTTTGAAATGTTTGAGCCCAGTACACTAGTATGGATAAATATCTTAATTTCCAATTACGAAATTACATTTTGCTATTTTGTGCACCATTTAGTGATTTATAAATGATCAGAATCCAAATGTCACGTATGACATATTAAAAACATCTTTACCATACAAGAATAATTTGTCTTTATATAGTTTCCATTTTGTCAAGACTTGATGCAATATGTTGTTTTAACAGAGGTGTTGTTTCATTAGTAAGTTTCAAGTAAAAGAAACTATTTACTATTTTTCTATTGGTATGTTTGAATTATTTCGCATCAAAAATTATTAATTATAAAATTATATTTTTCAGTATCGTGCATACTTTTCTAATATAAATATCATATTTGCAATTACCTCTCTGTACTCTTCCAAACTGTTTTCAGTTTCTCCATACAAAAACTTGTACGATGTTACCCATTGAATATACGCCCCGTCTGTTCTTCCCCGAGTCAGGACACCCGTCACTAACATGAGTTCACCGAGGTCCGCTTGAATCCATCGATCGGGTTCGCTACCCGGACCCCAGCATGAATTCAGGCCTGACCTAGAATAGAACAAATGATTTCATGATGCATATTTTACATACAATGAAACGTAAAACATTTTCTGATTATTCAGTTGTAGGGCTGAAAAGAAATATCCTGATTGTTAGATATCAAAACACTACCCATTCTAAGGCACTTCTAAATGTGGTTATGGGTCCTTAAATTATAATATATCTCGAGGATGTTTAAGGATGTTCTGAAAGTTCAACATGCGTGGGATATTGTTGAAATGATGAATGCCATTCGCAGTCCTATCAGAGGATATGTAGAGGATATTCTTTTTATCTATAGTCGATATCCATGAGTTGATAAACATGATTGTCCGAGAAGGTCATAGGATATCAAATTCATCCTATGTGTTTAAAGATATATTACTATGTGTGTTCTAAATATAGCTCACAATAACTTTACAATGAAATATATAAAAAAAAGTCAATAAATATCAAAAAACTCAAATATTTGTTTAAACTGAACATACTCTTACAGTGGTTGCATGAAAACATTATACTCCTTTTAATATGCACATAATGGTCATCACTCTTAAAAATTATTACTTGGATTTCCTTATATTGAGAAATTGTACTACTCATTTCAAGTCAAAAATTACTTAAATAATCTTGAACTGCTGAATAATTTTTAAGTAATTTTTAAGTAATTCATTTATGGTGAATTTACTAATGCAAGGAGAGAAATTGAAATACTTACTGTAGTAATTGTAATACTCATTTACATAATTAAGCAATTAAAAAACTCAAAATGACAATATAAGTTAAACCTACGTAAAATGAAGTAAAACTAAGTATTTAACTTTAATAATACTCAAGTAATTCATTTTTAAGAGTGATATCTTTATTCGGCTATTTCTAAAACCAATTTTGGCCAATTCAAAAATATTTTAATACGATTTTAGTAGGAAGCGCATACCAAAATTATTTTGTGTCATATATATTAAGTATCTATAGGATAAATAACATCACCTACGCCTTTATCTCTGTTCTTATTACTTACTTACGACTAGACTTGATTTTAACAAATTCTCATTTTATTTTGTTTACATTCTATGAACCATATCTGAATGAAAGAAGAATCATATCATTTGGAGCAAAACGTCAACATGTCATTTTTATTCCGATAGATCTGCGTATATCTGATTTTTGAAAGAAAAATCATTTTGTCATTGTCATTACCTAGAAGGAGTTCATTTGGTTATTTTGTGAGGAACACGTGCAGGAATGATTACCAATTACCCAACCCCCCCCCCCCTCAAAGCTCACTCGTGGCGAGCACTCACAAAGCTAGCAAAGTTAATTGGACGATCGCAATTCTTTCGAGTTTCAATGGTCGAAACAAAAAACAGTTCTTCAATTCCATTCAAATAATCTTTTATGATCTCAGCAATCATACAGGCCTCCAATATATTCGCGATCCAATATAACGATTTTGATTTTTTAAAGTTAATCTTTACATGCTGATTCAAGTCTGATACTTACACTTGCTGTGAGTCTAATCTACCTCTGCTCGGGACATGTGCAGTATTGTAATACCCCGACGCAGTGATACTTGCATCACCAACACTGTAAATATCTCCAGATACAAGTTGTTCTCTGCAGTTAACTAAATTTTAAAAATAAGTTTGTGATATTTAATAACTAATATATATATATCAGGCCCATAACCGGCTTTTGCCAAGGTGGTGTCCACTTTTCAGAAAAATTCCAGGGGGTTCACTTTGACAAATTTGGCCCAAAACCAGATGAAAATGCTCAGAATCATGAAAAACTGCATGATTTTGAAAGAATTTTTGGCCCGAATCCCTCGACCCCCCCCCCGTCTACGGGCCTGTTATATATACACCCAGAGTAAATCTGACAATGTACCGAAGGTAGGCTCGTGAACATTATTTATAAACGATTCTTTCAAACTTCAATAAAAACAAAACAAGTATAATAACAAGTATAATACAGAACATATTCATAACGAAAATGTTCTCACTTACACAACCCGAAAAAACTAACTTTTAATTTTGACGTCGCAGTGGCCTAAGGAAACCATTTCTTTTTCGGGTAGTGTAGTTTATATAATTATGTTATTGACAAATATGATCAATCATAGGCAAGTTATGTTGCATTGATCAGGAATGCTTATGGATTTGCTAAGAATTAATAACTCCAGAGAATCTGCGAATTAAAAATTCCCCATACAACGATGCATTTAGGCATTGAAATGGGCATTTTTAATCGAAAGCTTAGTGAATATCATAATTTACAATTTTTCAATAAGAGTGGTTAGATATGACATATTGGTACTAATAGAAACGTCAGAAACCCCAAATTTAGATAGTTGCATTTTTACCATTTCTGAAGTTTAACACGAGATGCTTAAATCAAAAACGCTATTTCTCTAAATCTCAAAGTCATCGATGCTATCTAAATAAATACAAAACAGTTGCCCATATCGAACACTCTGTTCACACAAGAAAATTCACTAAGATTTCATTGTGATTTTGAAAGTTATCCCAAAATTATTTAGAGAGAATTGCAATTTTAGTGTCATGCACAGTCAATGCCTGAATCAAAATCAGTGAAAATAATACACCTTACCATGTTGAGAATGGTAATAATGATCACTTGCAGTATTCGGAACCGCGTGCCCTCCTATAGTTCCGATAAACTCGCACACTTTATCACTGCTTCCTCCAACCGTCATCAGATTGTACGATTTACAGAGCCATTCTTCCAGCAAACACCGAATAGCACACTCACTCACCGAGCCGACGCTAATCGTTTTTGTGACGTTATCTGTTCTGCTTATATTATCGAATTTATAGTAGGTTTTTGTTTTAGTTCCATTCCTATGGCTAATATGAAGAAGTAAGATCAAATTGAAGAGGTACATGTGCTTTGATTTCATCGTTCTGTGGAGTTCGCAATCCTTGTTTCAATACCTTCTAGGCTCTTATTATATTGGATTGGCTCGTTTCTCTCTGTCCCCTAAGGAAAGTTCCGCAACTAGAATTTGAAGTTGTAAAATATAAATGAAAGTATCATCCGAGTAGACATGCGTAGATTATGGCCTAATCAGTTAATGACGTTTGCAAGCCTAGAGGCTGCAATAATTAAGATTATGTATTTTTGTTTCCTTTTATTCAGTCGTGACCAATTGCTAGAATTGACTGATGTAAATTAAATATCCAATGGAGGCAAACTTTAATCAACATTTATGATTCGGCAAAGATTGACGGTTTGGCCACACCCTATATCTTGCATACTTCTATTTACTCGATATTGATATTGGCAAATGGGCCATGATCGATAAAACTCATTATTTTGGGCATAATTGGTTCGGTATCCCGTTGAAGCTAATGTCTATTTTGTAATGTTATCAAGGGATACATGGGATCAACTATCGGAGGTATCGAAAGTCGAAACAGTTACACTCCCCTCCATAAGTCTGACGACCGGAAGTTCCTTTTTAAATCATACGTTTATGCGATTTTTCAAAATTCATCCATGAATTTCCAAACTATTGCACTAATGCCTTGGTCACATATGATCTGATCCACCGGCCGTCGCCCGGCCGATTGAGTGTTTTGTTCAATATTGTATACAATTTTGAACAAAATACTCAATCGGCCGGGCGCCGAACCAAATGTGACCAAGGCATTAAGGAGCAAAATAAAGATTCTAGCATTGACAGGATTTAGCATGATGTTATCAAATGAAGGCTTTCAGTTCCTAAACTTATGGAGGGGAGTGTATGTAAAACAAAATTTAGAATGATCTTCATAGAATTAAAGTTAATGCAGTAATGAGTGTTGATTATGTCACCACCACAAGTGTAGATTATGTCACCACCACAAGTGTTGATTATGTCACCACCACAAGTGTTGATTATGTCACCACCACAAGTGTTGACAATGACATATTGTTGGAATCTTCAACTGTTTTGTGGATGTTGTTAAGTGGTTGCTGTTTTTGCTGGTTGCTAGGTGGTTGGTGCTTGGCGATCAGTGTGTCTGTAACAAATGACAGGTGGTAACTGACTCAAAGACTCATGACACCATTTTCACCATCAACAACTTTTATTGTTATTGTATCAATAGGAGGTATGAGTTTATGAGAAAGTGGTTTAGAATTCTAAGCTTTCATATCCTACTACAAATAGTAATTAGTTAGTGGGTCTATATAAAGATGGCAGTGTAGTATGTGGTTTGCCTGAATATATTTGAATATATTTGACAACTACATCGCAATCCTTCAATCAACCCACTACTGATCCATGATTTTTTGTCTTTCTTAAACAGCTACTGCAAAACACTACCAAGTTCAGTTTCAACTGATTGGTGAATATCCTTTTTGTACATGTATGTTAAACAAGACAACCTTTAAAAATAAAAATAGAAAGATTGGCTGGATGGAGGATGGGTCTTAAATTTGGAGTGTGAATGTGAAATGGAGATTTTATTCTTGGTACAAAATATGATATTATTTTTATGCCATCACCATAACAGATGACATATTGTTATAGTCTCCAACTTTTTGGTAGATGGTGTTTTGGCAGTTTGTGTTCCGCCTCCATTGGCTGGCATCTGTAGCAAATGGCAGGTGGTGATAGTTTGTATGTTAATGCCTTGTTAAAACTTTGAATATGATTCACATATTCCCTGAGAGTTCCAAAATATACCTAGATATTTCATCTTCGACTCTGCTTGTTTCTCTCAAGCACACTGTACACATAACATTCAACATTAATTTTAAAGTACATAAATGTACATATGTACAATAAACAAAACGATGTCAAGTTGAGTGTTGAAATGTTATTAAACAATTAAATACAGATTTAGTTCATATTTGAGTTACACATGATGATATACGATATTTAACTTTCAAATCAACTATCATAATATCTGTATTTTATCAGTCATATGATACATTTACTTGAATATTCTGCCGTATACAATTATAAAACGTCATTGTGTCTATGTACATGTACATGAAATATATATATATAATATTGTAAAATTAAAATTCATTGTGTTGGTATACTATTATTATAATGAAAGCCGACTGCATAGTATATTATATTATTACAGACAAGTGACAGCTGATTAGTATTCAATAATATGTAACTTGTTTACAATCAGCTTTCATTTTGTGTGCAATATACCTATATTTATATACAATCACCTTTTATTATTCCACCGAACGAAGTAGAGAAGCCGTCCGTCTTTTCGCCCGTCCATTCGTTCATGTGTCTTGGTGAAAACTCAAAAACCGTCGACGGATTTGATTCAAATTCTATTTACTAATGCATTATGGGCGTAGGACCTCTGCTTGAGAAGGAATTATAAATATGATCGCTCAATTCAAAATGGCTGCCAATTTTCGTAAAAACGCTATCGGATAACTGTAAGAGTCGATAAGAGATATATAATACTAGTTGATGGATTTGGTCAAATTTTTATATGCTGATGACTTGGGACAAAGGGCATTGCTCAAGATAAGATTTTCAAGACGGCATAGCGACACATAAGCTCTGCTCAAGAAGGAATTTTCAAGATGGCTGCTATTTTTTGTGAAAAACGTAATCTTTGAAATACCAGTAGATTTAAGAAAATTTCAAGTTGGCAGCTGAATTTCAAAATGGGCGCCATTTTTCAGAAAAAATCGTTGATAGCTGAAATACAAGTGCAGTGGGTGGATTTGTTTCAAATTGTATATGCTGATACCTGGGGACAAAGGAGATTTGTTCAAGAGAAATTTTTCAAGATGGACGCTATTTATCGAAATATGTTTTGTTCGGTGGGATTTGCTACTCCGTGGAGATGATGTTCTTGAGTTTTCCCATTTCTTATCGCAGCTTAATTTTTGATTATAAGTTCACTCGACCTTTGTATTTTCTAGTTCTCATTCCTGTTCTTATTCTTGTTGAAGAGTTAATCCAACGGTGCTTCTGAAAACTTATTCCCCGAGAAATTATTTTTTCATATTTTCTTCAAGGGTGCAATTTTGTTCAACTAGTGCGTCTTGTCTTTCCAACGTATACAGCAATATCCCGTCTGGCCGGACGCGTCATTCACTATGTACCTGGAATCAACCATTTACGTACCATACATTATATATGTATAGAGTATATTATTTGGTTTCTTGAAAAAAATCAAGTTCCATCGTGATAAATGTATACTAGTATGCATTTACAATAATGAATTTACATTAGCAATCTAAAAGTCTAAAATGAGCTATTAGAGAGTTTAAGATTAGCGTAAATAACCCATTTACCTATACCTATACGTAGTTTGTTATTACACTAAGCGGTATTTTACCTAAGTTACAGGGTTCACGATACGTAATTACCTGTAAATGACCGAAGATAGGTAATTCGAAAACGTATGTTTTTATCCAACAAATTATGTCATTTCTAGATCAAATATCATCCATTAAACTTTAAAATAGTAACAACAAACATTTCTCATTCGATCTACATAGAAATTAAGTGGTCGAACACATTCATTGATGCGATAAACGATGCCATGTGATGATGCATGAAATTGTTGAATTTACACATTCTTCATAAGTTTTGCTTATTGTAAATGTATGTATGTATAATTTATTTACCTCTTAAATAAAAGAGAGTTACATTCATATTAACATGTAGAGAAAATTAAATAAAATTATAAAACATATTTGTGTTACTTGATGTTAAAGGTAAAGAGGATAACTAACTTTTATCCACAAGAAATTGCCTATGCCTGTGTAACTCGTACACATGCATAGCTATGAGTAACAGAGTCTCCTTATCATCATTGTATACAGTTCCTAGAATCACTTTAAGAATATAATCGTCGTTCATTACATTCAGATTACCCCTCGCTAAATTGAGTAAGGGTTTTCTAACATCAGTAAAAGCTGGACAAGTAATCAAGAAATGCTTAACACTTTCTCTTTCGTTAAGATCACAAAATATACAGATATCTGATAAAGTAGTGTCACCCTCACGGCGTCTACTGTTAAAATATGTCGAGGTTAATAATTTGACCATCATTTTACAGAGGTATAATACATTGGGATTTTCTTTTGCGATCACCCACCATACATTCGGTTTTAGGATAGACAACGATCCTGTCACCACGTTGAGATTTTTATACATTAATGATGATAAAACAGTACTATAATTGTGAAAACTCTTGACACGTCCGTAGACTTCAGTTCTAAATTCTTGTTTTGAAGGGATTTCTGCATTAAAAATCATGTTCTTAACATAGTCTATGAGGTTGTACTGCACAACAGTATCCCACATTTGAGATAATGGAGATTTCAGACCTTGAGATGGTGATTTTAAATACATCATCCGTATTAACCTTTCTAAACAAATGACCTTATATATACAGCTTACAGGTAGCCTTAACAACATATACAGAAACATCAATCTATCACAGTCAATTTTTGCTTTAACAGACATCCATCCAAGCAGACTAGTGGCGACAGGGTCTGGCGTATTCTTTGGTAATGTCTGAATGCGTTTTCCGACCTCTTTGTGCAGACCTTCCATTAGATAAATGTCATTGTTAGTGTAAGGTATTACTGCACAACCATAAGTCAGAGTTGGATAGGAGAATGACCAGTACAGCTTTGATCCAAGCAAGGGATGTATACCACCGCACCCATTGCCTAGACCTAAGAGTGAACAAAATTTTCTTCTTGCACAAGATATTGCAGTTTTAACATGTACATTTGTACTACCCAGTGGTATTCCAACATGCTGAGCAGAGTTAACAATTTTAAGCGAATTTTTACCAAGTTTAAAATCTTGAGCAGCCCTTTTCCCTGGGCCAAAATACATGATGACACATTTGTCTGGGTGGAATTCAAATCTCCAGCGAAGACTGTAATCATAAGCTAATTGAAGTAAAATATTCATTTGGTGATGACCAGTAGTAATAAGAGCAAGATCATCTGCGTAAGCCGGGC